CTCTCCCTTCCTCATCCTCTGTCTTCCTGTCTGACTATAGATCACTCTCCTGCTTTTCCAATCTATCTCTCTCGTTCCTTCAATCTATTGCTCATATGCTGCACAGTTGTCTCTGTGTGTTACTTCTTCTGTATGTTGTTCCTGTACAGGTTCTCTCTGTGTATACAATATGTCCAAGTGGTTAACCTGCCCTCTGTTTACTCAAATGAGAAGGAACTCATTGATGAGTAGGGGATATATTTGAAGGGCTATCAAGTGCAAGAGAGATTATAAACTTGTTCTGCTTGAACCCCAGAAGGCAGAACTATTAGAAATGGGTGGAAACTTCACAGAAACAGATTTCAGTTCAATAAAAGGAAATTACAATTGAAATTGTCCCAAGGACCAAATGAGACAATTATCAGCAAAAGCACTTAGTCCAACACGTGGTGCATAGTAGGCACTATCCAAACGCCTATTCTCTTTCCTAAAGGGGAAGACAGCTGCCTTAGGAGACAGAAAGGATACTCAATGGAGGTCTTCAACCAGTCAGGGATGGTGTGGCTGGAATTCTTGTTCTTTTATGGACAGGTTGAAGTAAATTACTTCTAAGGTCCCTTTTCAACTCCATGATCCTAGCTCTGATTCTGTTACTAACTCACTGTGTGACTTTGGGCAAGTCCCTTCCCCTTTCTTTTCCTCAGTTGCTTCATCTGTCAGATGGGGATAATAAAGCCCTGACCTCATAGGGATTTGGTACGGGATCAAATGAGCTATTGGTTGTAAAAATTCTGAGGAAATATAGAAGGTGCCAAACGAATACAAGGTCTAATAATAGTAATGATACAGTGAAGGAAGAAAGGCAGCCCAAATAAATGTTTGTTGAGTTGCCATCTACTATTCCCAAAGCCTCAGGCAAGGTTACCTCACGGCCTCAGCCTGCAAAAAACACAACTGTGTTTCCCATCCCTTCCCCACCCCTTCACCCCCCACACACACCCATTCATTTTACCTTCAAAAATAAGTCAACTCTTGATTACTTTGGATTATCTACTAACAATGGGCAGCTAGGTGGCGCAGTGGATAGAGCACCAGGCCAGAGTCAGGAAGACCTGAGTTCAAATTTGACCTCAGACACTTCCTATCTGTGTGACCCTGGGCAGGTCACTTTAATTCAGTTTCCTCATCTGTAAAATGAGCTGGAGAAGGAAATGGCAAACCACTGCAGTACCCTTTGCCAAGAAAACCCTAAATGGAGTTAAGACAAATAGGGCCATGAAGAGTCAGACACGACTGAAAATCTACCAGCAAATTTTTCATTCCGGTTCTCTGAAATCCTCCAGAGGCAGGAGCACTGCTACAGGTAGTGAGTGCATGGTACGACATGTTTACTGAATTGACCTGGATCTGAGTCAACAGTGTGATGGCTGTCCAAAAAAAGGACAACAATATTTTAGGCTACATCTATCCATCAACCAAAAAATATTTATTTTCATGCCTGTTATGTGCCAGAATGCTACATCAGGTGTTGAGAATACAAAGACAAAAACGAAACTAAATCTGCCCTCAAGGAGAGCATTCAGCTGGATGTGTAAAAGTCTGGCATCCAGAATGAAGAAGCCTGAAGTCCTACTCTCCTCTACCCCATGTGGGATACTGGTTCTAGTTCTAGAAACTGGATTCTACAAGAGACTAGGATAAACTGGAACATGCCGAGAAGAGACTGAGGAGGAAAGAAAAGAACTAGAAACCATGTCATAAAAAATGCAATGAAGGTACTAGGGATATTTAGTCTAGGAAGAAAGAATTTAGGGTGGAGATTGTAAGGAAGGAGGGAAACAAGAGAGCAGTCTTGTCTAGCAGCTAAATGGCACAGCAAATAGAGTGCTAGACTTGGGTTTAGGAAAACTCAGTTTCAAATCCTGCCTTAAAAACCCACTAGTATGGTCCTGGGCAAGCAACATCCCCTCTCAGCCTCAGTTTGATTATCTGTAAAATGGGTATGACAGCATCTACCTCACAGGGTTGTTGTATCAAACGAGATAGTATATAAAAAGTATTTTGGGGACCGCTAGGTGGCACAGTGGATAGAGCTCCTGCTTTGGAGTCAGGAGGACCTGAATTCAAATTCGGCCTCAGATACATAACACATATTAGCTGTGTGACTCTGGGCAATCACCTAACCCCAACTGCCTCACCAAACAAAAAAAAAAATTTTGGAAAAAAAAAATTTAATGCTATGCAAATGACATATATATCATTATATATTATATAACACATAATTCTTTTATATTATATATAATTATGTTTACATAATTATATATTCTGTTGTTATTATTATCATTATTATTTAAATATCAAAAGAGGCATAGGGAAGAAGAAGCAGATATTTGAATTGGCCTCTGTGGACAGAACTTAGACTACTCAGTAAGTTATAGAAAAAGCAAATTTAAGTTCAATATAAATCTCAGGGGGTACTCATAAACCGAGAAACAGATGAACAAGTTATTGTATATAATGTGATGGAATTCTACTGTTCCAAACTCTTATCAGTGTAATGATCAACCAGAGCACTGAGGACTGAACATGTTGGCCACCTCTTGATAGAGGGGGGAAGGACTCAGAGTGCAGAATGAGACAACTGATTTTTTGGTTTTGACATGGCCAATGCGAAAATTTGTTTTGATTGACTATACACGTTTGTAATGGGTTGTATTTTGTTTGTATTCTCAACTTGGGGGGAGGTTGGAGTGGAAAGGTGAGAAGGCAGATCTCACCTGATTAAATAATTTTTTTCAGTTCAATATAAGGAAATTATTTCTAAGGATCAGAGGTGTCCAAAAGAAGTGGCTGCCCCAGGAGCTAGTAAATTTCATCACTGGAGGTGTTCAGTCACAAACTGGATACTCTCCAATGTAGTCTCTGTCTCTGTGTCATCCAGAATTCATCCATCAGGGAGAAAAGGAGCCCAGAGGACCTCAGAAATCCCCTCCAGCTCTAGGATTCTACACAGTATTACACTGCATAAAGTTTGAGCAGAGGGTACATACAGCTAATGCTATTTTTCTGTGTTATAACTATATCCATATTTTTCCCTCTCAAAAATCTTGTTTTGTGGATACAAATCAGATGTTCAGGGTGGCTTATATTCAGACCAATATGATAACCTCAAGAGTAGTCATAATTCAGGAAATGTTCATTCACTAATAGGATGGCCACCAGCTATACAGCATCACCCAGTATTAGGCTCCTATGGCAAGGTATCACCCAGGTATATGCCCCATGATCTTTGGGGCCCCTTATCAAACATCTATCAGGCCCCTTTCCCTGAGCTCTCTCTGCCTTCTCCATCAATGCAAATTAGCAACTCGGTTATAACATTCAGTCTCAGTTGCCCAGGACATTAAGAGATTAAGTAACTTACTCATGGTTGCTTGTCAAATACCAGAGGGTGCCATAATGGGTATTTAACAAATCTATTCAACTGAATTCCACCAGTCTTGGTGGAAGAAACATGGTACTTAGGTATAAGTCACTGATTCATGTCATTATATTCAGATGTAATAATAATAATAATAATCAATTTTCATTTCCTTAGCATTTTAATGTTTACAAAGCATTCTCTTCACAGCCAGCCTTGAGGTAAGAAGTGAATGCATTATTTTCCTTGTTTGTTTACAAATAAGGAAACAGAAGCTCTAAAAAGTTAACCTGACAGGGACCACCAGAAAAGGAGAAGTGGCTGAGACCCAAGTTTGGGGACCCGGGGTCAAAGAAAGCAAGAAGAGGGTATTTCCAAAATTATACAACCCAGGTGTGCCATGCAAGGGCATGAAATCTGAAATGAACACTAAACAAAGAGTACCTGGATATGAGGTATGGAGCAGTCTACAACTAGTACAAAGATGCTCAGTTGGGAGACTTTGTCCAGCTCTAGCACCTTTCCTACCAGGGATCCTCCCCGCCAGTGCCTCACCCCAGGACTTGAGGAAGCTATAGTTTGCTGAGGGAACATTCCATAGAGAGCCCAGGATGAGGAGAGCATCATAGCGCTTCACCATCAGGAGATCTCTGTTTCCTCTCTCACTGTATCTACAGCCAGGATTGGAATTTCAGAGAAGACTTCCCCAGGGGGGCAATGGAGGAGGTGCCCAAGTGATAGCCTGACACAAGGGTCATAGGACCTGGAACGGGAAGGGACCTTGGAGGTCATTTAGTCCAACTCCACCATTTTACAGAAAAAGAAAATGAGGACCTGAAAGAAATGATTTGCCCAAGGCCACACAGGCAGTAAGAGTTAGGATTGATGCTTTGTCTCCTGACTCTCAATCCAGGGCTCTTCCCCCTAGACCCCACAGACTCTCCATGGATATTTTCTCTTGCAAGTCAAAGGTGTCTGAACCTTATCCATCTCTACTTTTTCTTCCCAGATGCAGACTCAACAGAACAGTACACTTCTTCTATAAGCTAGCTAGTTCCCAGGAGACTGAGCCATGGAGCAAATGGCACATAGGCTCTCCTTCCTTCCTCTCAGGAAAGGGGTCTTTAAGTGTTGTCCTTACATTCAGTTAGCATATGTGTGTGTATATGTATTTTGTATGTATGTATGTGTGCATGTATGTGTAGATGGGAATATTATATCCCCATTATAATAGAAGCTCCTTGAGAGCGGAACGCCTTCACTTTAGTCTTTATATCCCCAGCACTTATTAACTATTTAATAAATGTTTGTTGATTGATTAATCAATGCCATGCCCAACATTGGCTCTTTCTACTCTATCTTCTTTGTTTGTTAACAGTTCTTCCTAGAAACTGGTAGCACTGAGTTTAAGAATGGCAGGTAACACCACCACCTGAGCCACCACCTAAAGTTATAATCCCCCAAAGCATTCAGGGTGACAGAGAAAACTGGTCTCTGTGGTCCCCAATACCCCAACCCCCTGGGATTTAGGAATGGACAGATGCCCAGGCAGATCTTGCCATAGTTTGAGTAACAGACCCCCCCGATGAGCTTAGCCAACCTTCTCCACAGCCGCCACTGAGTCTTTCTTTTCTTTCTGCCTAGCATAATCCTCATTTTCTTTCTGTGTGTTCCTGATCCGCATCCAAGCTTCACCTTGAGGTCTCACCAAGTTCACTGTCTTAGAGGTGGCAGGGCTGTAAGATTTCTGTAAAGAAAGAGGAGCACACTACCCCCACCCCCCCACACAGGACCAAGTTATTTCTCTAAGGCAACTTGAGATTCCTAAGGGAATGATACACACATTCCATTCAGGGCCCACACCAACTGATGTGGATGTGGTGGAGAGATAACCCAGGAAGGAAAGGAATGGTAGTCACAGCCATCCCCCCACTCTCCCTCTCCCTTTCCACCTGTAGTATTCCCTCACAGTGGAAAAGAGGATTGAAAAATAAACTCAGCAGCTGGGATGGTTGTGAAAGCCTTACTGATCCTGGAAAACTGCAGCCACTCCACTTAGCCCAGAGACAGAAATAAACCAGGCAGAGTCTAAAAGAAACCAGGTGTATCCTAAAAGAAATTAGGTAGAGCAGACAAAATTAGGCAGCAAAATTAGGTAGGGAAATATCAATGAAAACATAAGGCAGAGAACAGGTATTATACTTCAGCATGGAGTAATGGGAAGACTTCCAGATGTGAGGTTAAGAGCCCCCAGGGCTCTAGTCTGGACTTTATCATAAGAGGTGCATGATCTAGGATGGGACATTTCACTGCTCTAGCCTTCAGTTTCCTCAGACCATCACCTGCCCTGCTTACCTCTGTCTGTTAGGACTGTTGTGAGGAATAAACCAGACACTGAATGGGAAAGGATGTTGAAAAGTTAACCCACACAAGGGATTTTGATCATTGTTTCAGGGGTCCCACCTGCAATTTGGGCTGGGCTGACAGCCGCTCCCCTCCCTTGTGTCTTGAGGATTCCTCTCCTCCCTTGTGTCTTGATGATTTCTCTCCTTCCTTGTGTCTTGATGATTCCTCTCCTCCCGTGCGTCTCATTGCAGGTGGGGCGGAGGTCAGGTTCCTGCGGACCTGAGCTTTGGCAGACAGCCCACTCATGGGCCACCAGAAGAACTTTTTTGCCCAGGACTTCTTGCTCCTGATAGACCTGTTCACTAAGTCAGCAAGCGTCATGCGATCCTCCTCCATGAAGACCTGCCCCACAGAAGAGAAAACATCCTAAAATAAGGACTTGAATTTGGCTGGCCCTTCAGTCTGGAGCTTGCTAATTATTGAGCTTCTCCTAGGAAAAAAAGGGGGGAAGGGGAGCATAGTATAATGGAAAAAACATTACGTTTGGAGTTGAGGACCTGAGCTCAAAATCCAGCTCAGACATATATGACCTTGGCCAATCACTTAACCTCTCTGGGCCTCAGTTCTGCTATCTGTAATATTAGTTTGTATTTTGAGGACAGGGCAGGGATTGGATTGGACTAGAAGCCCTCTGAGATCCTTTCTAGCTCTAAGACTATGAAATGCCTATATATGAAACTATATGAGATGCCTATGAAAGTATCTCATATAGGTGTCAGGCCACACCCTGGTAAAGAAGTAAGTTAAGTGGTGAGGTGGGGTGGTGGAAACTGCGAGTCGTGAGATCTGGGTTCTAAACTCAGATCCTCTACTAATCAGCTGTGTGACTTTGTACAAGTAACTTCTCTCTAAGTCTCACTTTCCACATCTGAAAATAAGGAGGGTTAATGATCTCATAAACTTTCTCAGATACTCAGATACTCGGACATATTCTAGCATATAATAAGACCATCTCTTGAGCTCAAAAGTCCTGAGCTGCAGTAGGACTAAAGCCAATTCAGTGTCCTCTCTAAATCTTGTCATGAGCCCCCAGAAGCAGAAACCACCGGGTTGTCTAAGGAAGGAGCAAACCAACCCAGGTACAAAATAGAGCAAGGCCAAAGCTCTCATGTTAATCAGGTGTGGGATCAGGCCTGAGAGTACCTGCTGCATTTCTAGCCTGGGCTAGTTAGGAAGAACCAGTCTCTGAAAGGAAAAGGGAGAGAAAAGGCAGAAGGGAGAACTGGAAGAGGAAAAAGAAAGGAAAGGGGAGAGGAGGGAAGAGAAAAGCTAGATTTCTAGCTATTGTCCACTGGCCCATCCTCTTAATTCATCCAGTTATCCAACTTTCCCTGAACCCAGAATTGTTACCATCTCTGCATAGCCCTACTCAACACTATAAATAAATTGAAAGGGAGGCTAAGGGCTCCCCCTTGCACATACCTTCTTGGGCTTCAAGGCCAGGGTACTCCTCGAAGCATTGAAATGAACAAAGGGCTTCCCCCAGCTGACGTTCCAGATGAAAATGTCACCGTTATAGGAAGCCGATCCCAGGATGTGGCTACGGTACTTGGCCAGACACAGGATATCTTCAGTGTGAAAGTAAGGCCAGTGGTCATACAGGGGGACTGCTTCCTTGTTTCGATACCTGGGACAAACCATCAGTCATCAACCAAGATTAAAAGTGCTCTCCTACCTCAGAACTCCCACGGCCTTCAGCAAGGCTCTGCTGACTTTTAGAGGCAGCTGGAATGCAGACCATGTAATGCTCTGTTTCTCACATCAAAACTTTCTTTCAACCTAGAATCACAGAATCTCAAAAATTGAGAGGATCTCAGAGGTTCCTAGTCCAACCACTACCTGAACCCTTGTATCACATACTCAAGGTCACTGAACCCAAGAAAGTGCTCAAGCACCTTCGCTGATGTAGAGGGAGCCCAAAGCCTCATGATCTCGCTCATTCTACTGTCAGATACATCTAAATGTTATAAAAGTTCCCCTCTACAGTGACTCTAAATCTATCTCCTTGCAATTGCCACCCGCTAGTCCAAGATTCAGAGAATCTCAGAGTTAGAAAGGTCTCCCGAGGTAAGAGAATTCAGTACCTCAATGAGAAGTTTATTGAATGAATTAACGAACAAAGCATAACATTAAATTAGCTTTTTTTTTTTTGCATTGTCGACATATTGAGCTTGTACTCATTAAAACCCCAGGGACTTTTTAACCAAAAATTACTCTCTGGTTATGCCTCTCCTTCGGGAGCTTTTTTTTTTTAACTTAAATGCAGAACTTCACATTTATTTCTATTAAATTTAATCTCTCAGTTTTAAGGGGGGGGGGTTAGGGGGTTAGCATACCAAGATCCAGAAATGACTTTTCTTTCTTCCGACTTCAATGATCACTCCTTATTTTTCTCATGCACTTTATACTCCACTGTGCACTATAGTCATTATACATTACTGCATCTTGTGGGATCCTATCCCCCTCGCGTATAGAGTGTGAGCCATGTGAGGGCAGTGTGACTGTGCTTTTTTGATCGTTAACTGCTCTCCAGTTCCTAGCAGCATTTGCACATAGGAAGCCTCAATACATGGCTTTTGACTGACTTGCCTAACAAGTCATTACCACAAAGGGAATAGTGTCCCCCATGGGAACAGGTCTCTGGCCAGTATTACAACCATCTGGATGAAGCAAGGACAGAGAGGAATAGAAAAGTGAGGCAGAATGCAAGGGTTAGTGCAAGTGGAACACAGCCCTTCCCATGACCAGATACTTCCTACTTACAGGTACCAAGTGATCCTCTTACTCCACCCTGCCACGTAGAATACCCCATTCATATGAGTGATTCCACTAATCTGTTGGAAGAATAAAGAAAACCAGCTACCTCTGAGAAAAGAGATGTATGTATGTATGTATGTATGTGTGTATGTGTGTGTGTGTCCCAAGTGTGTAGGTCAAAAGAGACCTAGTTTCAAGTGATGGTTCTGAGTAAACTGTGTGACCCTGCGAAAGTCACTTAACCTATCTGAGCCTCAGTTTCCTAATCCATAAAATGAAGATAAAAACACATGCACTACCTCCTTTGCTAGAAGCACTTTGAGCTATTTTATTCCTTTCGGAGATAGGAGGAAATACATACATTTCACTCTGTCCACTTGTCTTATTCTGGTATCTTATATCATTCTTTTCAAAACAGTTGTTCACTTTATCTCATTTGCTGTTCCTAACACCCAGGGAAGGGAGGAAAAGTAGAGCTTCTTATTCCCATGACCTTGCCCGTACAAGTAGCAGTGTGGTGTGGGAGAATAGGAGGGCAGCTAGGTGGCGCCATAGAGTACAGAGTGCCAGGCCTGGAGTCAGGAAGACTCATCTTCCCGAGTCCAAATCCAGCCTCAGAAACTTACTAGCTGAGTGACCTTGGGCAAGTCACTTAATCCTGTTTGCCTCAGTTTCCTCATCTGTAAAATGAGCTAGAGAAGGAAACGGCAAACCAGCACAATACGTTTGCCATGAAAATCCTAAATGGGGTCGCAGAGAGCCAAACAGGACTGAACAACAATAACTTGGAGTCAGGAAGATCTGGGTTCAAGTCCTGCCTCTAATAGATACAGGCTGTGTGACCCTGGGCAAGTTACTTAACTTTAACTACTCAGTGTTCCAGGCAACTGTCTAAACTGTGAGTTAGGGATGAGTTGTTGATCTGTATCAATGGATAGAGTTTACATACTGGGAGTTCCCTACATGCACAATAGCTTAGATTCAATAAATAAATAGATGAATAAAAGAACCTTGCCTACAACCCGAATTTTTCCCAGCTTTCAGCCCTTGGGGACACTGACCTCCATTTGGTCTGGATTGGGAAAGTGCAACAGGCAGACCCCGATGTTATAATTCCACATTTTGACTGTCCCATTTCTCATGCCAGTGATGAGGCACCGCTCCAGCTCATCCAGGACCATCGCTGTGAGCTCCACATCCTTGGACTCTGATGCTGAAAACTCTACCACCTTCTTCCCTGTCATCAACTCCCACACGCTCACCACGCCATTCAGGCTGCCGGTCACCACCTACCAAAAACAGATCTGGGAAGCCTTGGGACCTTCCTTGTCAACACGGCAGGGTTACACTCCATTAGATAGGATAAGGGCAGATCTACAATATTAGACTACCATAAGCAGGCCTCCCAATGAGCTGTGCTTGAAATTAAGACATGACACTGCAGCTAGAGCTATCCCAGGTGGATCATCAGGTCCTCACCTGGGATAGCTCTAGCTACAGGGCACTCTATCCCCAGCTGATAAACCTGGGCCACGGAAAGTTCCACGCAAGAGATACAGGGATAACACAACACACACCAGACCAGTAGGGTTCCTCTAACAACTCACTGTGTGATACTGAATGAGTCACATTGCCCTCTCAAGGCCTCCATTTCTTTATCTTTAAAATGAGCATGTTGGAATTATGTCATATAAATATGATGGAATACTACTATGTTATAAGAAATGAGGAAAGAGACCGTTTCAGAGAAGCTGGGAAGACTTATATGAACTGATACAGTGTGAAATAAGCAGAACCAGAACAATTCATACAACAGCAACAACACTGTGAAGACAAACTACTTTGAAGGATTTCAGAACTCTGATCAATGCAATGACTAACTAGGATTGCAGAGGACTAATGAAGCATACTATCTACCTCCTGGTGATGGACTCAGGGTTCAGAATGAGTAATATTTTTTGGATGTGGCCAATGTAGAAATATGTTTTGCTTGACTAAGTATATTTGTTAAAGGGATTTTTTCCCCTTTTTTTCCCAATGTGGGGGGAGGGTAGGAGGGAGAGGTGAGGAGAGAAAATTGATTTGTTAATTTTTAAATATACATAATTTATTTTAAAAAAAAATAAACATGTTGGACTATAGAAACCTCTATGGTCCCTTCCAGCTCTTAATTTCTATGTTTCAAACACTCTCCTATTGCTGATATTCTATAACTGTTCTGTGAGAGACTACAAGGGCAGCTAGATGGCGCAGTGGATAGAGAACCAGCCCTGAATTCAGGAAGACCTGAGTTCAAATCTGGCCTCAGACACTTGACACTTACTAGCTGCGTGACCCTGGGCAAATCACTTCACCCCATTGCCTCGCAAAAAAAAAAAAAAAACTACAGATGGCTCAGTGCAACCTATCCCACACTTCTGAAAAAACAACTCAAAGTACAAATCCATCCTACTGATGGGGGCAAGTTGAGCCTCCTGTCCAATGCTCTAACCATTCCATGCTCCCTTCCCCAGCTCCTTCCCATGAGGGCAAAGGTTCGGTGACCTCACTGAGAAGCATCCATACTACATTTAGTCGTTTAGGGATGCTAAAAAGATATGTTCCCATCACAGCACACCAGACCTAAGACCATCTAATCACTTTATTGTCTGGGGCACAACCATTCCTTCATGTACTCAACCTGAAATTTATTATTATTCCTTCCTTTCTTTCACTTCTTAATTCCAATCAGTACCAAGTCCTCTTGATTCACCCTCTGCAGCATCAGCTGCATGAGTTCCCTCCTCTTTTCTCTATTTCTCAGGCCACCATCCTAGTATAAGGCCACCAATACCTGTCATTTGCACTACTGCTATAGCCTCCTAATAAGCATTCTTCCCTAAATGTTCTCCTTAGTCCAATCTAACCTTCATTCACTCTCTCAGAAGATTCTTTCTGATCTAGTTACATCATTCCTCTCTTCAAAAATTTTCAGTGCTTCCTTATTTCCTAAATCCACAGGCCTTTGCCCAGTGTTCAAAATCCTCCACAATATGACACCACCATACCTTTCCAGCCTTATCTTAGATTATTAGCTTCTAAGCACTCTACACACCTACCAAACTGGCATACTCTCTAATCCCATTAGTGCACCATGCACACTTTCCTCCATGGTTTGGTCCCAATATTCCCAAAGACAATTCCCTTCCTTGCCTCCCCCTATCTTCAAATGCTGAATTCCTGTCCAACCTTTAAAACCCAGCTCACAGGCTCATGAATTTAGAAATGGAAGGAAGCTTTCTACTAAGCAGAACTCCTCTAGCTTCTAGGAGGCAGCAGGATTCAAATCCCATTTCAGAACCTATCTGTGTGACTTTCGTCAAGTCCCTTAACCTCCCTAGGTCTCAAGTTTCCTCATCTGTAAAAAGGAGATGATTGGAGAAAATTATCTCTACAATCTCTTCAAGCTCTGAATCTATGATGCTGTGATTCCTACTATGAGCAAAGGAGAATGGACAAATATTTCCTCTATTCATAACTACTGCAGAAAGAGTCCCATGGCCACATACCAGATGACACACAGCAATTCCTGGGACTGGGGAGCCAGTTTCTAGGCAAGTGTCATATCCACACTGTCAGGAGACTGTTTTCTTCCTTTGACTCTGTTATGATTCTGCAGATTTAGGTGCTGTCCTTACCTGCCTAAACATCTTGCTGTAAAGGACCCCACACACGGCTGTATGATGGGTGGTAGACTCTTCCACCATTTTCCTGCTCCCTTCCTGGGCCTCCAGATAGCCCCTAAGAATCCCAATCTGTGCATGGGGAAAGATGAGACAAACTGAAAATCAGGATGGTCTTGTCTTCTAGGAGAGTCCCCAGTCAACAAGCATTTATTAGATACCTGGTATGTGCCAATCATTGCACTAGTTGCTAAGGATACAACAAAAATAAGACAGCCTCTCCCCTCCAAGAGCTTACATTCTATCAGGGAAAACAACATGTACAAGGACAGGGATAAGCCAGAGATATACAAAATGTATACTCTGAGAAGCCAGAACAAGGACAAGAACTACTAGAACCCACCAAATAACCAGTATTTAATGAGTGTCCACCATATATCTCAGGCTGAACCATTAACTGTTTTCTAGGGACCATGGAAGCAAGATCAAATGTGCTTTCTTGAGACATAAAAGGATGAGAAGTGCTCTGGAACTGGAGTCAGATAGATTCACTGACTTTATCACTTACTAAGAGATGGTATATTGGAAAAAACACTGGATTTTAAGTCACAAGGCCTGGGAATCTAATCCTGGTTCATTCCTTAACTGCCTGTAACCATAGGAAATTCATTTAATTTCTCTAGGCCTCAGTTTCCTTATGTGTAAAGTGAGGAGGTTTGACTAAATTGTTTCTGAGGTCCCTCTCTTCCAGCGTTAATAACGGAGGATTTTATTAACTGTTTTACCATGTAAAACGTGTTATGTAACCTTTCTACGCTTCCATTTCCTCATCTGTAAAATAAGGATAATAAGGAGACAAACTTCAGGAAGGGGGGGGCAGGGGGCAGACAATGTCGCATCAACTTCAAGTCTCTCTAACGTGAGTGCTCTGCACACAACAGCCCCTTATTAAGTGCCTGCCAAAATTGAGCTGTTCCTGCTCAGTACCCATTATCTAACCTGTGATTCAAACTCCCTGACCTAAACCTATGATTGCTATCTGCTCAGTCCTTTGAAGAAGTCAGAAGACCTGGGTTCAAATCCTGGCTCTGACCTGTATGACCTTGGGCAAGTGCTTTAACGTCTTATGAATTTGTTTCTATATCTACAAGGTGAGGAGGAGTAGAGGGAGTAGATGAAGTGATCCCTAGCATCTCTTCCAGTTCCAAATCTGATGATGCTAGACTAGAATTCTCATTGGCTTTTTGAGGAACCAGGGACCATTGGATTGGGAAGCAATACCCAAAAAACCACCCTATGTCTCCCAAATGTAACGTAAGGTCCACTGACTAAATCCAAACAATCCCCCCACCACCACCAAAGCTTGTCACTCACCGAATAGGTACCACAAATAAAGGTGTCATTGGCCTTGTGGAAGTAAGCACTGGTAATAGGATGATTTCCCAGGGCAAAAAATTTCCCTGAAAAGGACTGGAAACACAGAAAGTTGTGTATATCCCATAGACGAATGTTCTGAGGGGCAGAAATATACAGAAATTAGGATGACGGCACAGATTATTTTGTTGAAAAGTTCTGAAAGGTAGGTTGGCAAGTATTATTTATCCCTATTTTTCAGGTAAGGAAATGAGGCTCAGAGAGACTGGGGAGATCTGGAGCTAAAAGGAACTTTACAAATTGTCTAATCAAAACCCCTTCATTTTGCAGAAGAGGAAACAGAGGCCCAGAAAGGTGAAGTTATTTAGCTAAAGCCATATAGCTATGAAGTGGCAGGACTAAGATTTGAACTTGTTCCCAATTCCAAATCTACTGTTATTTCCCTTTACCTCAGGCTGCCTCTTCAATGTTAGACAAGCCAAACACAGGTCTTAGACTAGTGATGGTAAAAATGATAAGGATGAAATACAATATCTAGCCCTCAAGCCCAAAATTGCTGTAGCCATGTCCTGTCCCCATCAGGATGACAGTACAAAATGGCAGCCAGAGCTCTAGGCTGTGAGCCAGTACTCCTGACAACACCCCATGTGGCTTTGGATAAGTACCTTCCCTTCTCTGGGCCTTACTTTTCTCCTCTGTCATATGAAGGCATTGGATACCTGATTATTGAAGTCCCTTAGACAGACCTGATAGTGTGATTAAGACCAATGTGACATGGAGAGCTCTGCCAAAAGGCAGGGCTGACCTGTGTTAGGGCAGGATTTAAGGAGGCCCTAAAAGCCCTCTCTTTCTCAAAGGAGCTCTCTTCACCAGCCTGCCAGGGTATCTTTTGACACCCAATCTAATGCTATTTCCATTATACATAATGTCCCCAAAGGAAAACTCCTAGGAATATTGTAGCCAAATTCCAGAGTTCCCAGGTCAAGGAGAAAATATTGAAAGCAGCCAGAAAGAAACAATTCAGGTATTGTGGAAACACAATCAGGATAACACAAGATTTAGCAGCTTCTACATTAAGAGACTGCAGGGCATGGAATATAATATTCCAGAGGGCAAAGGAGATAAGATTACAACCCAGAATCACCTACCCAGCAAAACTGAGCATAATTCTTCAGGGGGAAAAATGGTCATTCAGTGAAATAGAGGACTTTCAAGCATTCTTGATGAAAAGACCAGAGTTGAATAGAAAATTTAACTTTCAAATACAAGCCTCAAGTGAAACACGAAGAGGTAAACAGGAAAGAGAAATCATAAGAGACTTATTAAGACTGAACTGTTTACATTCCTGCATGGAAAATGATATTTGTAACTCATGAGACCTTTGTCAATACTAGAGTAGTTGGAGAGAAAAAATTATATGTGTGTAGATAGATAGATAGATGGATAGATAGATAGAGGGCACAGGGTGAGTTGAAGATGAAGGGGTGATATCTGGGGAATTAAATTAAGGAGTGAAAGAGGATTATGCTGGGAGAAGGAGAAAGGGAGAGGTAGAATGGGGTAAATTATCTCACATGAAACAGACAAGAAAAGGCTTTTACAGTGGAGGGGAAACAGGGAGGTGAGAGGAAATGAGTGAATCTTATTCTCATAGGATCTGGCTTAAGAAGGGAATAACATATACACTCAAGTGGGTATGAAAAGCTATCTTACCCTACAGGAAAATAGGGTGGAAGGGGACAAGAGAGCAGGCAGATGATAGAGCAAGGACAGATTTGGGGAGGAGGTAATCAGAAGCAAACACTTCTGAGGAAGGACAAGGTCAAAAGAGAGAATAGAATAAATGGGAGGGCAGGATAGGATGAAGGGAAATAGAGTTAGTTTTTCACAATATGACTACTACGGAAGTATTTTGCATGACTTCACATGTATAATGTATCAAGTTACTTGCCTTTTCAATGAGGGTGGGTGGGGAGGGAGGAAGGTAGAAAATTTGGAACCCAAAGTTTTAAAAATACATGTTAAAAAAATTGTTTTCATACACACTCAACTGGGTATGGAAATCTATCTTACCCTACAGGAAAATAGGGGGGAAGGGGACAAGAGAACAGGGAGATGATAGAGGGGAGGGCAGATTGGGAGAGGAGGTAATCAGAAGCAAACACTTCTGAGGAGGGACAGGGTCAAAAGAAAGAATAGAATAAATTGGGGACAGAATAGGATTAAGAGAAATAGAGTTAGTTTTTCACAACATGACTGCTATGGAAGTGTTTTGCATAACTGCACATGTACAACCCATATTGAGTTGCTTGCCTTTTCAATGAGGGTGAGTGGGGAGGGAAGGAGGAAAGGAGAAAATTTGGAACCCAAAGTTTTAAAAACACATGTTTAAAAAAAATGTTTTTGCATGCAACTAGGAAATAAGAAATATAGGAAATGGGGTACAGAAATCTATCCTGCCCCATAGGAAAATAGGAGAAGGGCATAAGAGAAGGGGGGGGAAAGACAGAAGGGAAGGCAGACTAAGGGAAGGGGTATTCAGAATGTATGCCATCTTGGGGTGGGGGAGGGGTGAGATGGGGTGAAAATTTGGAACTCAAAATCTTGTGGAAGTGAATGTTGAAAACTAAAAATAAATAATTTTTTAAAAAATTGTTTTCACATGCAACTGGGAAATAAGAAATACAGGAAATGAGGCATAGAAATCTATCCTACCCTACAGGAAAATAGAAAGGGAAAGGGATAAGAGAAGGGGAGCAGAGATAAAAGGGAGGGTAGATTAGGGGAAGGGGTATACAGAATGATGCTATCTTGGGGTGGGGAGAGGGATGAAGTCTGTATTCAAATCCCAGGTAGGCCACAAGGTCTGTGACTTTGAAGTCCTTATTTTATTTTACTTTTTTTATTATCAGATATGATTTCATTGATGTAGAGAATTCCTAGCAAGGGGTCCCCTCTACCAATTCTGCCTGGGGCAGCAAGAGGTGAAGTGATTTCCCTGAGGTCACAGAGCCTGTATGTGGCACAGGCAATACTTTTACCCAGGTCTTCCTAACTCTGGAGCCAGCTGTCTTTCTGCTATACCACAATGCCTCTTTCAGGGATTTATTTTCTTTCTCTAGAAAAAAGAATAAGTGGATAGAGCACCAGCCCTGGAGTCAGGAGGACCTAAGTTCAAATCCGGCCTCAGACACATAACACTTACTAGCCGTATGACTTTGGGCAAGTCACTTAACCCCAACTGCCTCACCAAAAAAAAAAAAAGACAAAGACAAAGGATAGGGTTGAGTTCTATGATCTCTAAGGTCTTCCATAGCTCTAAACTTTATGATCCTATATTAAACAGACAGGACCCCAAAGTTGGGGAGTCTGAACAGTTTGGTAAAAGCAGGACAGGCCTGGATATATCAAAGGAGAGGACACTGAAGTAGAACCGAGGATGGGAGGGACCAAATACCAACTTCACCTAAAGCAGACTCTGCTTTAAATTCAGTGTGTAACCTTGAACCAGCCACTTCCCTAAGGCCTCAATTTCTGCCTCTAAAATGACAAGGATAGACTCTAGATGGCGTCTAAGAGGTCTTCCCTAGGGAATGGAAAAGAGGGACTTGTATAGAGATTGTCATTGTGGGAGACAGTACTTTGTCTTTGGAGATGCTGATGATGCAGCTTCTTTTTCCATTCACAATAACGTGAGTCACTGAGGTCTGGTGTCCCTTCATCTGCCACATGGGCTTCTTTATGAAGAGAGGATTCCATAGGAGAATGATCGGATCATAACCACCTGTCACTGTGATTTAAAAAAAAAAAAGGATTGATCTAAACATGTATCAGATCCTAAAACAGAGACCCTTCTTCCCAAAAGGAGGTGAGACCTCATTTCTCAGCTAGAGAAGGAAGAAAGGAGAAAAGGGAAGAAGAAAGGAAAGAGGGAGAAGGGAAGGGAGAAAGGAGGAAAAGAAAGGAGGAAAAGAGGAAAAGGGAGGGATAAGAGAGGGAGGGAGGAAGAAAAGGAAGGAGGGAGACTCCTATCATGTACCAGGCACTATGCTGAGTGCTTTGCAAATGTCCCATTTCATGCTCACAATAACCCTGAGAGATAGGTATTATTATTAACCTCATTTTGCAGTTGAGGAAACAATATAAACAGATGTTAAATGACTTGCCCATGATCACACAGCTTGTAAGTATCTGAAGCTGGATTTGAACTCAGGTCTTCCTGACTCCAGGCCCATCACTCTATCCACTAAACCACTGAGGTGACCCTAGATAATTTCACTCTTCATCTTCTCTGCCTAACCAACCTCTGAGAAAACCTGTCCAAATCCTCCTTCAGGCACCTCCATGTTCTCCCAAGCTCTGTACTATGCCAAAATTTCTTTCTCACCCAGCCCTCTTCCCTCATTTCCTCCAGGGAGTCTATCCTTTCTCCCCTTGGAAGAAAGTAGCACATCCCCTTTGTCTCCCTCTGCCCAAACAAATCAAAGGTAAGTTTGCTATCTCATCTTCTTTCAGCACCTGGACAAATACATCCGATCTTCTCCTATGCCCGACTTTAAAATTAATGTTACTTCTTAATATGTGGTTTGTGCAAAAATCTGTGCATGTTAATTCTCTCCTCAAACATCTTCAGTGGCTCTCTACTGAATAAAATAGTGAATAAAAGTCCAAATTCCTTTGCCTAGGATTCAAGGTACTCCACAATCTGGCTTTATTTGTTATGACTCCCTTCCATATACCTTACACACCAACCAGATTGGATTCCTCTCCGACCCCTGAAACACGCATGGTCCTGCCCTGCCCCCATGCCTTTGCCCATGCTGTTCCATATGCCTGGAATACATTTTCTCCCCATATCTGCTAGTTAAATTCCTTCCTGTTTGGGGTTTGGATCCATGCCTCACCCACATCATAATCAACTATAATGGGCTCAGTAATTAATTTCTTTTATTTAAAAAGTAGAAGGAAGTAAGGTCAGCTACAGAAATGAAAGATATTTTTAATCAAAAAATAACAATTGGAAACAAAGTCAATTGATTTGATTATATAGAAATAAAATAATTTTACACAACAAAAAAGCATTTTCTCTAAAATTAAAGAAACAGATTCAGGAAAATGTCTGCAATATATGAGACAAGATCATGGACCCTAACTTAAGAACCCCTGATCTATGTGAAGTAATGAAAAGTTCAATCAACAGAACCAGAACTGTATGCACACTGATTGTAAAATATACCTCCCTCCCAAAAACAGAAGAAAGGAATGGAGGGAATAAAGAAGGTGAGAATGAGAAGAATGAAAGGAAGGCAGGCCAGAAGCAGCAGACTTCTAAATAGGTCTGGAAGCACAGACAGAACAAAAGCATGTTCTTAGTTGGTCATGGTTTTATACACATACGTGTGTGTATCTATGTATCTGCAGATAGGTATTTACTGAGTCCATATCTATATATCTATATAGATGTATATATCTATATATGTGTGTGTGTATATATATATGTATATATGTATATATATATATATGCATATATGTATATATATATATATATAATTTGCCCTAACTTATTAAATGTTAAGGGGTTTTTTGCAAGATTTTAACCCTTTTGTTTTATATGTTTTTATTGATCCTTTTTGTTGATAGTTATTATTATAATTTTTTAAAAATTTAACACCTAATAATTCTTTAAAGGCCAAATACCTTGTCCTCCATGAAGCCTTTCCTGATCCCTTTTTTGCTTTTTGGGATCTTTTTGCTCCCAAGTCTTGTTTTCAAGGGAACATTTGAGTCCAATGATTCCCTTCCACCAAACATTTCCTTCTTTTTGGAGATACCAGTGCTGGCCTCAGCAGCTCTGTTCATGTTCAGTGACTGGTACCTCACTGAAGGAGGTGGGGCAGATAATAGAGAAGAAATACAAGGGAAACTCACCAAGGAAGTTCCTGTCTGGACAGTAATCGAAACACAGAATTCCCTTCCTCAGAGTCATTATGGAGCTTCTGAAGCATAAAAGAAAGATCATAGATATGAGCAAAGATGCCATAAATCAAAAATATTATTACTATTATTGCTGAGGAAGATTTTAAAAAATAGGCAAGATATAGTCCCTGCCCTCACAGAGCTTACATTCTAGCAAAAGAAGTGAGATATTATACATATACAAAAATCACACAATTTCATGATAACTATATTGGCAAAATGTGAGGTACAAAGTATCATGGGAGATCAAGAAAAAGGAAAACTAATTTCTAATTAGGAGGAACAGAGGACACTTCATAGAAGAGGTGGTATTTCATGGAGGGGGCTCGGCAGAAAAATTAGCATAGGACCTTGAATATAGTAGGGACTCAGGAAAGATTTGTTGGATATAGAAAAAATCCCTTAGCCTGGCATTCAAAGCCACCCTCCTACATTTCCAGCTTTACTTCCCATACTCTCACATATAACACATACTACATGTTTCAGCTAAACTGAGACACTCAACAGTCCCTGATCTCATCCTGATTTCTCCTGCCTTCATGCTTTTGTTCACTCCATCACACACATACAACTCTCTCTCTCTCTCTCTCTCTCTCTCTCTCTCTCTCTCTCTCTCTCTCTCTCTCTCACACACACACACACACACACACACACACACACACACACTTGGACTTTCCCTTCTCTCTCTCTGACTTCTAGAATCATTTCATCCCATCAAGTCCCACCAGTTGAAAAGTCCATCATCCCTGCTCTACTGAAGATTAAAACTCCCCTTGTCACTTCAAAATGCCTATTTCTATGTCTACCTTTCTTCCCTACTATACAGCAGAGGAAAAGGTGTACATCTTTTCTAAGTTTAGTCCCTCTGCCTGTAAGTTCCCCATCTCACCTCCTTCCATCTGCTTAGGCAATTTTTTCCCTTCAATTGTCTCCTCTTTCAAAAGAAAGAAGAAAACATCAATGAAACAGTTTTAAATTATGCAAAAAAAAAAGAGCAGAAAAAAGGTCAGAAAATGGCACAGGTAGACAGGACAGCTTTGAAAATATTGTATTAGGGGCAGCTAGATGGCGCAGTGAATAGAGCTCTAGCCTTAGAGTCAGGAGAATCTGAGTTCAAATCGAACCTCAGACACTTGACACTTACTAGCTATGTGACCCTGGGCAAGTCACTTAACCCCAATTGCCTCACTAAAAAAAATATACGTATACACACACACACACACACACACATTAGAAAAAAACAAACTTCCTAGGGGTTTTATCTTACATGCCTGCACTGGGGAGGCTAAGGCTGGTGGATCACTAAAGCTCAGGAGTTCTGAGCTGCAGGGGGCTAAGCCAATCAGATGTCCACACTAAGTCTGACATCAGTTTTGGGAGGTGGAACAAAGCTGACTAAAAAGAAGTAAACTGGCCCAGATTGGGAAAATGAAGGTCAAACACTGTTACAATCTACAGGGTGATCAGGCCCATGAGGGGCTACATTTCCAACTTTGGTGAGATAGGACGACCCATGTTTGTGATATTTTTCAAGTAAACAATAATAAAGACTTTTTAAAAAAAATTATCTCGGGGCAGCTAGATGGCGCAATGGATAGAGTACCAGGCCCTGAAGTCAGGAGGACCTGAGTTCAAATCCAGCCTTAGACCAAACACTTGCCGCATACTAGCTGTGTGACCTTGGCCAAGTCACTTAATCCCAACTGCCTCACTTAAAAAAAAATATTATCTCCTCTCTCATCAATATAGTCATACTTTCTCACCCCTCATTGATTCTGTTAACAAATATGAACAGGTTCTTAGCTCCTTTCTAAAGTCCCACAAACATTCCCTTGACCCTACTATAGCTTAGCTTCTATCCTATTTTTCCTCTCATTTCCACTGTCACACTCCAAAGATGGGTTATTCGTTGCTGTGACTTCCACCTCTGCCATCAACCACTCTTTCCTTAACCCCTCTAGGAGAGATTCAGTGACTTCCACTCATCTGAAACTACATTCCCCAAGGCCATTGATAATTCGCTTCACTGCCAAGGATTAAGAGGACTTCCCTCAGTCCTTACCCTTGGCCTGTGTAGCCTTTCCCACTGAAAACAAACCCTTGTTTGTGAAACTTTTCTCCCTTGTTCCTTCAGATACTGCAGCCGTCCTGCCTCATGGGTTGCCCAGGCTCAGTGTCTTTGTTAGGTGCTCAAGCTCTCCTCTTCAACATTCTTTCCCTCAGTGATGTCATCAGTCACATCCCTTCCACTATCACTAGAATGTATAACCACCTGCCCAGGTACTACCACCACCATCAGTCTTATTCTCTTGAAGTCCCTCTCTTTCTCCAACATCCAGCTCAGATGATGCCACCTAATCCATCAAGCCTTCCTTGACCTGTGCCTTAACCCAAGTTGGGAAGACTATGGCATATCTCTTCCTGCTCACATTTCTTATAACACTCTCCCCTTCCACATCTCCCATTCTCCTTCTATCATAGTGCCTGTGTGCTTATCCTTTCCCCATGAGACTATAAGCTTCTTGAGAGCAGGGTCTGTGTCATCAGAACTATCTTTGCACCCCCAGCTTTGTATACAGTAGGTACTTGTGTTTATTATTTAATTTATTATTGAATTAAATAAATTTTCATTGAATTAAATAAATTAATAGTCAATCAACGCATACTTGTCATTATTTATTTATTATGAATGGAGCCTGTCACTTAACCTCCCTGGGTCTCGATTTCCTCATTTATAAAATAGGGGGGTTGGACTAGATGATGTTCCCATAATGACTCCCAACCAGAAAAGATCTCTCCCTCATCTGAATTTTGTAGCTCTCTTATCTATTCTTACAACATCTGAATTCATATTAAGCTGTGCTTGTGTCTTATTGCCCCCTACTAAATTAAGGTCATTGAGGGCAGAAACCATGGCATCCCCCTTAGCAAAAGGAGGGACCAGACCTACTAGGTGTGTGACAAAGAAACTTCATGCTATAATAGAAAGAGCATCAAATTTGGGAATTAGAAGACCTGGATTTAAATCTCAACTACATTGTCCCTTCCTCTTTCTGAAATGTCTTTTTGCAAAATGGAAATAATACTTGAGAAGCAGTAGCAGGTAGAGAGAGCTGACCTCAGAGTCTAGAGGACCTGGGTCCCACCTCTGCTACATGCCCCCAAGCAACTCGGGAAGACTACTAAGAGTCTATAAATTATAGGGCAAAAGCTCAACGGAATTGAAGAAGTTTCCTTATTGGGAGCTCCCTCTACCAGTGAAGCCATATGTTTACACCAGCACAATAACTACTATAATTATTAATTTTACTAAATTACTAATTTTACTAATTTTAAATTACTAATATTACTAAATATTTGTTGATCTAACATCTCCAGCCCTATCTCACTCTATGCCCTTTGGAAAACAAGCCACCAGCAGTAAGAGAGGGCAAATCCAGGGTTTTTGAGTCAGCCCCACTGCATGTGCCTATGGCATTCTAACACTTTTTATCAATCTTGGCATAGATCACTGCAGGCCATTTAAAGCTTAACACTACCACCTACTGGCTCATATTCTATAATGCACTCATAACTAATTATGGCACTGATTTTTAAAAAGTCACCAATTTTTCCTTTAAATTCATTTCAACTTTGAAGTCACATGTGTATCAATAAAATTTCTATAAGCCTTGAAATAGGAAGAGAGCTCCTGAGATGTTAAAGCCATTGAATATAATAATGACTATCAAATGGATAAAAATCACAATCAAGAAACTAAAAATAATTTTTAAATGGTAATAGCTCATTTTGGATGATGCTTTATGATTGAATAAGGTTTTCACAACAATCCCATGACACACAAATAGTACAAGGGTTATTTTCCCTTTTTTTATAGGAGTAGCCTAGTGTAGTAGAAAGAACAATGGACCTGGGTTCCTATCCCAGTTCAACCCCTAACTAGCCATGGGATCTTGGGAAAGTTGATTGGTCTGTCTGAATCTGTGTCTTCATCTGTATGCAAAATGGGGATAATAGAGGCTACCTCACAGGGGCAGTGTGAAGCTCAAATGAGTAGACAGGCATGAGCTGATTTTTCAGCATCTCCTATACATGTGAGTTACTGCTCGTTAATGCAAACTTGCTGACTGGCCCTAGCTGACTGTCATTCACAGGTTTTACCTTTCATAAAGGATCCCAAACCTCAAGGATTTCGGAGGATCATGTCCTGGTTTCCTAATTCCAGGATGGTAAGGAGGGCAACTTCCTTACTCAAGGAGGTGCTACTTACAAAAACAAATAGAACCAATCCCACAAATTATCCCCTTTGAATTACCTCAATCAGTTGACCATCCCCAGTTTCTCCTCTCCTGGCTTTGTCTACAGGTTATCTGTGCCCAGTCCTTTGGAATTACTGGCAAGTCAGTAGACACAGTCCTTTGGATTGGGTGGGCATACATTCTCTGTTCCTACTATGGGGTGTGAGCCCTAGGAGAAAACCCCTCCCACATACCAACACCATCTCTCCCCTTCCACAACATCCATTTTCATAACATCACCCCCCCAAGATTCACAAGACAATAAAGAAGGGAGAACAGAAGGAAGACCACAAACTCTCAAGCTTGCCACTGAGTCAGGGGCCCAGAGGAAGGTTTCTTAACCTGTGGCCGATAAACTTGCTTTTTTGATATTTTAATATTAAAATATTAATTTAATATTAAACTTAATTAAATTTAATTAATATTTAATATTTTGATCACTGTATTTCACTCTAAGTGGTTCCCTCTGCATTTCTACATCTTTTACTTGTATTTATTTAAAAACATTCTTCTGGCTAGAGGTCCATGACACAAAAAAGGTTAAGAATCCCTGCTCTAGAGAGAAGCAGAGACAGATGTGGCTTCCTTAGCCGGCTGGCATTTAAATTCTTCCATAATCTGACCTTGGGGCAGCTAGGTGGTGCAGTGGATAGAGCTCTAGGCTTGGAATCTGAAAAACTCATCTTCCTGATTTCAAATCTGGCCTCAGACCTTTACTAGTTGGGTGACCCTAGGCAAGTCACTTAACCCTGTTTGCCTCAGTTTCCTCATCTGTAAAATGAGCTGGAGAAAGAAATGCCAAACCACTTTAGTATCTTTGCCAATAAACCCCAAATGGGGTCATGAAGAATTGGACATAACTGAAAATCAACACAGCAATAACAAATAATCTAACCTTTCCAGTCTTGCATCATATATCCAGCAAAACTGGACTGCTACCTGCTCATTGACCTCACTCTTTTCTCCCCCATCTCTGTGTATTCATGAAAGCCATTCCCAAAGTTTCCTCCTTATTTCTCCCATGGGAATCCTTTTCTTTTGAGACCTAGCTCAGGTGACACCTCTTCCACAAAGTCTTCCCTTGTCCTCCTGAGTGAAAATAATCTCTCTCAAATTTTCCTAGAGGACTTTGTCCAGCTCTTTCCTTTACACCTTTCACTTCCTATCTTATATCAAACTGACTTATGTTATATGTCCTATCCCATGCCATTCAACCCCCAATAGATTATAAATTTCTTGAGGGTAAGGACATCTTAGTGTCCTGGAGCCCAGAATAGTGTCCTACAGAAATAACAGGAGCTTATTAGCAGATGTTTGTTGAGCTGTTAAGGGAGAGAAAGTTTGAGCTTACTTTAGATGATCAGTTCTAGTTGGCATAATTGTCAGGACCATGGCCGTATTGTCAATGGCTGAGCAAGAGGCCACCAGATTCAGCTGGGGGATGAACTTGACCTGCTGACACCAGTTGGTGTGAATTGCCTAGGGAAGAAAGCAGACAGTGGAGGAAGAGCCAAACCAGAGCTAAAGTCATGCTGATAAATGGCCAGCGGAGCATACTGGGTCCCAGAGCCATTTTATATCCTATCTATCTCTCACATTCACAGGGCCATTGGAGACCATCAAAGTGCAGCCTCCCACAGAAAACATAAATTCTCCCTACAATAACCCGCACAGGTGGTCAGTCAGTATGATATGTTTTATCCAAAGGTATTTGTTAATTATTATTTTGAAGCGTTCCCCTACTTTGAAAAGTACTTTCTCATTTTAACCTCATAATGTAACTGGACAGGACAGGCATTGTTTTCCCCACTCTATAGAGAGAGAAACTGAAGCTCCGAAAAGTTAACTCTGACTCTTCTCTATAATATAAATCCAGCCAATGGGAAGGAAAACTCACCTTCAATCGATAGCTTCTATGTACTTTAGACTTCTTAGTTAAAAGATGCTGCATAGAGATTTTGATGTAAGGACCTAAAAAAATAAGTCAAAAAGCAAAGTACAGTATTAATTACCTTCTCTCTATACATCATCAAATCTTCCCCTTTCCATTCATTCAGAAACTGTTTTATTAAGCTCATACTATGTACAAGGCACTGTGTGGCACTGAAATTCCACAGATTCCTGCCCTCAAAGAACTTACATTCTACCCATGGAGATCAGAACTATGACACACATGGGAAAAAAAGTAAAACGTGAAGAGGGTCCACGAATGTTTATTAAGTATTTACTATATGATAGGCACTGACTGTGCTAAGTTCTGTGACTACAAACACAATTTGGGGAACGATGAGGACAAAGTAGTTTGGGGAAATAAGAGGTTGGAGAGAATGCCTTCAGATTAGGGAAAAGGAAGGATTTACAGACTAGGTGGCACCTAAGAAAAGCTGTGAAAAACAAAGCTGTGGAGGGCCTCTGCTTCGGTACCCAAGGGTTACCATAATCACATTTAGTACATGAATATGTAATTATTTGCATTCTATTGCCATAGTTGTAACTAGCTGTGGGGGGCAGCCTGCCTTTTCCAAATATTAATTTGATATAGCACTTTTTTTAACCTTTCCAATATGTAAATTGTTGCTTAAGTTACTGCTCTCCAAAAAAAAACTTTACATCTATTTCCTCATTTGATCTTGACAATTAGTATTTCAATGTTATTATTAGTAGTATTTCATTGTTCATTGTTACTAATAGTATTTTAATTTTTCTGATGAAGAAAGAGAGACACATATTGGGTGATTGGTCAAAGGTCACGCAGTTACAGAATTAAGACTAAAACTTACACCTCTTAACTATTTGGCATTTAGTGCTCTACTGTGCCAGTAACATTTAAATAATAATAATAATTCTATTGAATTACTTTGTGCTATTGTAGGGGTAAACTCTATTTCCTAGTAGAATCCCATGATCTTCAGACACATAGACAAGTCACATCCCATCCAAGGGCCCCAGTTTCTTCCTCTATAAGATGATGAGGGTTGGAGTTGACAGTCTGTAACAGCCCTTCTAGCTCTCATCATAATAATAATGGCAATTCAGCCTGAGAAAAGATTTCAGTGAGAGGTACCTTATCCTGCCAGGTGATCTCTAGAATCTTCCTAAGACAATTCAAATGGAAGCGATTCAGTTTCCTGGCATGGACGCTAGTATGTCCAAGTTTCACAGCCAGCACGATGGCCCTGTAGGCCTTCAGTCTGGTAGGCAGCTTAATACCTCTTCTTTCCCATACTTTCCTTCGTAACCTCTCAAACACTGAGCAAGCTTTGGCAACACATATGTCAACTTCATCACGTGTACATCTCTGGAAACTTTACTGCTAAGCTAAGCGAACTTATCCACAGTATTCAATATTTCTCCATTTGCCTGTAACCAAAGTTTCCACATATGGATAGTGTGGTGTTGGCTGGTGGAGAACCTGTGTTTTCTTGGTGTTAATTGTTAGGCCAAAATTAACACAAGCAGCAAAGAATCAATCCACACTTTGTTGCATTTCAGCCTCAGAGTCTGCATTTGAGTGTACAATCATCTGTAAACAAAAAATCACGCACCAATTCTCTCTCCACTTTGGTCTTAGCTTGTGGTCCTTTCAAGTTAAATAATTTACCATCAGTGTGATAGCTGATCTTGATGCCATTTTCATCCTTGTTGAAGGCATTTGACAACATGGCTGGAAACATCATGCTAAAAGGCATGGGAGCAAGCAGACAACCTTGCCTTTACTCCATTGGTGACTGGGAAAGCACAAGAGCATTGTTCATTATCCAGAACCCAAGCAAGCATACCTCCATGAAATTAACATGCAATACAGACGAAATTCTCCAGACAACCAAATTTTGACATAATTTTCCACAATCCTTCATGAATGACAGTATCAAAAGCCTTGGTCAAATCAATAAACATTGTGTACAGACCTCTGCTCTGCTCCTGGAATTTCTCCTGGAGTTGTCGGGCAGTAAACACAATATTGACTGTTCCTTGGCACTTTAGAGAGATGCAAAATTCTGGGCTCAGTAAGAAGATAGGTGAAATTCAGTTTTATGCTGATAGTAACAATCTAAAGCACTTTTATGATTCCTTGAAGGCTATTTATGGACCAAAGACTTAAGGGGCACCTCAACTAGTCAATGCTGATGGAGCCACACTGATCAGTGATAAGGACATGATCCTGGAGAGATGGGCTGAACACTTCCACAGTGTTCTCAACAGACTGTCATCAATCAATGCTGAAGCCACTGATCAAATACTTCAGGTTGAAGTCAATATAGTCAAACTTCCAACTGAAGAAGTTTTGAATGACATTAGGCTCCTCTCATGTGACAAAACACCTAGTACTGATTCCATTCTAGTAGAGGTTTACAAGGCAGGGGGTCCACTCCTCATATATATAAGCTAACTACAATCTTCCAGGTTATACGTAAAAGGAGGTTATCTGCTAGGAGATCAAGGATGCCTCCACTATCCATCTCAGTAAAAGAAAAGGAAATAGGTTGTCCTATGACAATCAGGGGAAGGGAGTCTCTTTCTTAGTCACTGCCAGAAAGATTCTTGCCAGAATCCTCCTGATCTTTCACCTGGAAGATGGTCATCTATCCAAAAGCCATCTCTCTAAGCTTCGCTTGCACTTTACTTTTGATGGATTTAAACACTGCCTTCTTAGAGACAGACAAACTATCCTGCCAGTAAATTCTGTGGAGTTCTTATTTATCATTTAGTATCTTCTGAATTTCCCCATCATTTTTATCAAACCAATCCTGATATTTGTAAGTGTTCTGGCCTAGATGAGTAAATGTGGTACTATACACCAAATCTCTGAAAACTGTCCACACCTTTTCTGCTCCACTGTTGCCAACTGTATGTTGGCTCAACTTTCCCTCCAAGTCAGTCAGTAACAAACTGTTCTCATGCAGAAAAGGCTCTAATCTGTTGACATTATTAAGTCTTTTGGAAACTGTCTTGCCTTGAGGCAACCACTTTTGTTGAATGTGAGTGTTTGAGGATAAGTCTAAGATCAGTCCAGCACTCAGTGCCACACATTACCTTCGTCACTCTCATATCCTGTCTGTCTCTTCTCCTTATAATGACATCGCCTATTAAATGTCCGTGTTTGCGCGAGGGTGCATTCATGAAGTTTTATTGTGTTTAGGTAAATGGAAGACAGGGTTAGTGATGAGAAGGTCATGAGATGCACAAGTCTTCAGTAGTAAGTGACAGTTGCTATTGCTGTTTCCAACTCTGTTTCTTCCAAGGACTTGCTGCCATGTCTGATAGTCTCTGACTACTCTGGCGTTCAAGTCACCCAAAATTACAAGCTTGTCCTCTTTCAGCACATTGATGAAATGGGTCTCCAGGTCTTCACAAAATTTTTTCTTTGACCTCATCAGGGTTCATCATGGTGGGAACGTACACATTGATAATGGTGGCATGCTGCTTCCTTGCAAGTAGCAATTGCATTGTCATGAGCCTGTCATTTACTCCTTTTGGGAGGCACTCAAGCTTGTCGATTAGATTAGATTTGGGGGCAGCTAGGTAGCGCAGTGGATAGAGCACCGGCCCTGAAGTGAGGAAGACCTGAGTTCAAATCCAGCCTCAGACCAAACACCTGACACTTACTAGCTGTGTAACCCTGGGCAAGTCACTTAACCCCAATCGCCAAAAAAAAAAAAAAGATTAGATTTGACTGTGAAGCTTCCACCAGCTTCCTGGCACTCCTCCTCACCCAGACCAGTCCAGAAAAACATGTATCCAGCTCTGACTTCAGTAAGCTGGCCTTCATTTGCCAGCCTTATTTTACTCAAGGCTGCTGTCTGATGCAGCATCTGCTGAGTTATCTCACAACGAGAGCTGTTGGCATTTCAGGTCTCCTGGATTTCGTGTTGTCCATAAGTGTGTGCACATTCTATTTGTGAAATCATCTTTGCAAAAGTTTTTGCACATTTTTTTGTGTTTTGACAAGAAGATAAGATCCCCACACCTGGGACAGTAAGCAAACCAGAGTTAGGTAAGCTGAAGAAAACAATTTTTAGGGCACTTTTTCTAGCCCCTTCCTCATGCCAGGTGGTGAGCAGTGCAATCCTTAAAAAAAGCTGCTCAGAGGGGCAGCTAGGTGGCGCAATGGGGCAGCTAGGTGGCGCAATGGAGAAAGCACCAGCCCTGAAGTCAGGAGGACCTGAGTTCAAATCTTACCTCAGACCAAACACTAGACACTTACTAGCTGTGTGACCCCTGGGCAAGTTACTTAACCCCAATTGCCTTAAAAAAAAGAAAGAAAGAAAGAAAGAAAGAAAGAAAGAAAGAAAGAAAGAAAGAAAGAAAGAAAGAAAGAAAGAAAGAAAGAAAGAAAGTAAGAAAGAAAGACAAGAAAAAGCTGCTCAGCAAGGAATAGTTCACCTGTCAGATTTATGGAAAACAAAAGAATTTATGACCAAACAAGAGATAGAGAACATTGCGAAAAGCAAAATGGATAATTTTGATTATATCAAATTGAAAAGGTTTTGCACAAACAAAGTCAATGCAACCAAGATTAGGAGGGAAGCAGACAATTGGGAAATAATTTTTACAATTAGTCTCTCTGATAAGGGCCCTTTCTAAAATATAGAGAGAGTTAAGTCAAATTTATAAGAATACAAGTCATTCCCCAATTGATAAATGGTCAAAGGATAGGAACAGGCAGTTTTCAGATGAAGAAATTAAAGCCATCTATAGTCATATGAAAAAATGCTCTAAATCACTATCGATTAGGGAAATGCAAATCAAAACAGCTCTGAGGTACCACATCACACCTATCAGATTGGCCAACATGACAAAACAGGAAAATGATAAATGATGGAGAAGATGTAGGAAGATTGGAGCCACTAATGCATTGTTGGTGGAGTTGTGAAATGATCCAACCATTTTGGAGAACAATTTGGAACTATTCCCAAAGGGCTATTAAAATGTACATACCCTTTGATCCAGCAATAGCACTTCTAGGGCTGTCTCCCAAAGAGATCACAAAAATAGGAAAAGGACCCACATGTATAAAAATATTTATAGCAGCTCTTTCTGTGGTGGCAAAGAATTGGAAATTGAGGGGATGCCCATCAACCGTGGAATGGCTGAACAAGTTGTGGCATATGAATGTAATAGAACACTATTATGCTATAAGAAATGATGAGCAGGCAGACTTCAGAAAAACCTGGAAAGACTTGTATGGTCTGATACTGAGTGAAACGAGCAGAACCAGGAGAACGTTGTACACAGCAACAGCCACATTGTGCGATGACTAACTTTGATAGACTTAGCCCTTCTCAGCAATGCAAGGATCTAAGACATCTCCAAAAGTCTCATGATGGAAAATGCTATCCACATCCAGAGAAACAACTATGGAGTTTGAATGCAGATCGAAGCATACTATTTGCTCTTTTTTTTCTTCTGTTTCGTTTTGTTTGCTCTTTCTTGTGGTTCCTCCTATTGCTTCTAATCCTTCCTTACAACATGACCAATGTGAAAATATGTTTAATAGGAATGTATATGTAGAACCTACAGCAGATTGCACACCATTTTGGGGAGGGAGGGGGAGAAAAATTTAAAACTCAAAAGTGTATGGAAGTGATTGTTGAAAACTAAAAATAAATTAATAAAAAATAAAACAATAAAACATACTAGCTGTGTGACTCTCGGAAAGTCACAACCAAGAAAAAAAAAATAGAGAAAGGCTTTTTCCCCCCTCCCTTAACATTAAGCTTTAAAAATGCTTTGTAAATTAACTCTCTCTTATTAGCTTCACCTAAAAAAAAAAGCTGCTCAGATACCTAGGGGCTGATGTATCTCACTGCTGCTTCAGTCTAATGAGAAGACAACCTTATGGCCTAGGATGCCTATGTGCAGAGTTGTAACCACAGCTTCTACTGTATCCAAACCTGCTACTTAGTCACTTGCCCATCACCACAGGACTTTGAGTAGGTATGAAATAATAAAATAATGATATAGCAAAATGTAAAATGGGGCGGTGTCTTTTGACTCATGCATAAACTGGATTCAAGTGAAGCAGAGCTGCACATCGGCCGTACTCTCTCTTCCAGTCACTGAGGTCCATTGGCAGGACAGAAATCAGACTGGTGGTGACCCAGGATACAATGGATGACCTTGGTGTCTTCAATGTCTAACCAAACTCTAAATGCTTCACAGCACCTGCTTCCATTACCTTCAAGGCCCATTAGAACAAATTGTTCTCATCCATCCATTCCTCTGGGGAAGTCTTCACATGCTTGGGGTAGACACTCCCCTAACTCATCAACAGGTTTGAGGCCTATCAATTACCCTCATTTATAGCTGATTTATCCCAGCTGCCAAGATGGTTTTACTGGGGTGTGACTGCTGTGCATGCTAGTTAGCTCTCCTAAGGGAAGTCTAAAAAGGTTGTGGGTAAGGGCAGAGTAGAGGAGTAGAAGAGGGAAAAAAACAGCCTAAGCCACAGGAAGGGCAGAAAAACAATCATACATTTGTTGACCTTCTGTGAAGCACTATAGACATACTATTGAGCAAATTTTCTAGGTATGTGGAGAGGAATATTTGCAATAGTAATAATAATATCTCATATTTCTGTAGCCCTTTACATATACTACAAGATCCCTTTCCAGCTCTAAATCTATCACCCTGATTATCCGTATTTGACAAAAAAAAAAAAAGTAACACCATAGTGGGGAGGTGAATTGCCCTAGTCACACATCTAACTAGTGCTAGAACCAGAGCTGCAACCCATGTCACCTGCACAAGACTAGGATAAATCCACCTAATTCATCATAAGCCATTAATGATGGAATGCCTTATCCATCCTAAAGGCATTTAAAGGGACTACTGAACTCTCTGTAGCAGCAAAAAGGTGAAAACAAAGCTGAAGCCCATTTAATGGAAAAAGATTAAACAAATTGTGGTACATGAATGTGATGGAATATTACTACATTATAAGAAATGATGACTGAAGGGAACAATGGGAAGATTTATGTAAACAGATATAAAGTAAAGTAGAACCAAGAAAATTATATACACAATAACTACAACAATATAAATGGAGAAAACAAGAAAAAATTTAAAGCTGAACATTGTATAATCATAATGACCAAAGAAGAGATATAGGAATGCACCTTCCACCACCCCAATTCTACCCTTACTGCTTCTTTGTAGAAGTAAGAAGCATTGGTTGATATGTTGGTTAGTGTTGAATGTGGGGCTGCTTGATGATTCAGTTTTGTTGAATTGATTTTTTTCCTCTTTTTTTTTTTTTAAACTGGTATACGGGATGATTTCTCTGGTAGGGAGAGGTGAAGGATCTAGTAGGAAATGCAAGTGATATAAAAACAATAGATAGCCATAACAAAAATTTTTAAACAAAAATATAGAGAGCATTGGAGAGGGTGATGTTTAACACACAGAAAATCAAAAATTGTCATCCCACTAGAGATATTCTAAGAGCCAGAGGCTTCCTGATGCTCCTTAAATTACACCACCTAGGCCTAACCTTGTTCCAGTTTCCCGAGATCAACCTTTGTTTTGATCTGGAAGATATGTGGGTGAAACAATCCGGACTCCGCAATATCATCAGAGACAAAGATGAGGACATTGCCCTTTATATCACCAACACAAAACACGGCTTTGTGTTGGTCTGTCCTGGGGGAAGAGAGAGGAAACACAAGAGGAAATCAATCCTTGAGACACTACTGCTTCTGCTTCTGCTTCTGCCTTGCTACCAAACATCCCCATCTCTTGCATGAGGAAGGCTACTATGAATGCTACACTTGGTGTCTCCACTGATCATCATGGGCCTAGCAGCCTAAGCTCAGAAAGACTTCAAGTCAGACCTAAAAATGTAGACTATAAGTGAAGAATAATTTTTAACAAATATGGGGGGGGGGAGAACAGAAAAGGTCCCTAATGAGTTAACTTTCAAATGGACAGCCAACTTAGTATGTAGTGTCCTCATAGAAGGTACAGTGGCAAGTGCAGTGTATTAAAATCCTGTCTCTGCCACTGTACCTGTGTGACTGGGGGCATGTCACTTTCCTTCTCTGGGACTGAGTTTCCTCACCTGCAAAACTGGGGACTTGTAAGGTCTTTTCTAGCTCTAAATTTATGAACCTCTCTGGAAAGGAACTTAAATATCCCCTGGCTGCTGCCATCTTCTCAATGTGGAGATAGACAGGGAGGGAGCAACCTGCCCAAAATCATGAAGGAAATGATTGCTCTTTCAACACTCACTCAGAAAGAGAAAGACTTGGAGACAGGGGATAAGAACTAGAATCCCAGCTCTGCCATTTATTGCTTGTACAGCCTTGGGCAAGTCATTTAACTTCTGTGGGCCTCCAGTTTCCTCACATGTAAAAATGAGGGATTAGTTCAATAACTTCTATAGTCCCTTCCAACTCTAAATCTATAATTCTTGGATGTCAAATGTACTCTATTTTGCTTATCTGTTTGGTATCAGTCTCTACTTTCTACTCTGGGTTTCACACACACTGATTTTTATCCTTTCAGGAGGGATTCCCAAAACCATGGTGATGTTGGACAAGCATAGAAGGAAGATGCCAAAGAAGGGCTCTTCTCCTGTAGAAAAAAAGCTACCTTTGGCAGGACTTTGAACAACCGATGGGATTTAAAATCAGTTCCTCTAACTCAAGAGGCAATACTCTTTCCTTTATACCAAGGCCCAAAGTCTTGAACCATAGTTAACAATGAAGCATTGGGCCAAGCTATTAGAGACCTAGAAGTCAGGAATTAAGCAAATAACATTTTTGCACTCTGTCCCTTGTTACAGGAATTGATTTTATATTTACTATTCTCTTATAAATAAATCCTAAGTAGTAATATACCTAAGTAGCTAGGTGGATATAGGGGTCCTGAGAAGGAAAGTAGAGACTACAGACATAAGGGATTTAATCTAGTACACTTGGAACAATCCAGAATAAGTCTTCAGCACCACTAACTCTAAGCCCTTCCTCCACGACATGTTTGAGCAGGAACCCAGGACTGCAGGAACAGGAGGAAGCCAAGTAATCAACAGAGTCCTAGACTGCGTTGCCATACATCCTGATGCCTTAACCAAAGCCATTTCAATGGTCCACTGGAGGAGATATGCAAGGCCAGGAACCAGTTTTGTTGTTGTCGTTGAGTCACTTTTAGTCATGCCTAACTCTTCATGACCCCATTTGGGGTTTTCTTGGCAAAGATACAAGAGTGGTTTGCCATTTCTTTCTCCAGCTCATTTTACAGATGAGGAAATGGAACCAAAGTGTTAAGTGACTTGCCCAGGGTCACACAGGGAAGAAGTGTTTGAGGCCAGATTTGAACTCAGGAAGATGAGTCTTCCTCACTCCAGGCCCAGAAGTCTATCCACTGCACCACCTAGCTGTTGAGGAACCAGTTAGTCCCCTTCAATAATACCCAGGATGGGCCTTTGGCCAAACTCACCAGTAATCCATGACTAAGGCACAACTGTCCAGGTCAATAAAGATAAAAGTCCTTTGGCATTTGTTTCCAGAAATGTCAAAGAATTCTGGGGAAGAACCAAGGAGAAATGCTGGTGAGCAAACCCAAACCCACTTATTGTCCATTGCTCTCAACCTCTAGCACGGAAGTCAGGGCACAAAACTGAAAACTGGCCACCAATGTCAGTTCTAAGCTCCTCAAGTATTTTCTTTACCTGGAATCACACAATCTTAGAGCCAAAGGAGACCTTTGGGGTCATTTAGCATTCAAAGATACAGTCTACATTTAGAGTTGGAAAAAGCCTTAGAAATACTCTAGTTCTACTACATCACTTTAAAGATGGGGAAACTGAAGCCCTGAGACTCATTCAGGTCCACAGAGAGGAAGTGGCAAAGCCAGGAAAAATCCCAGGTCCTCCAACTCCAAATTTAGGGAACTTTCCACTACATCAGGTTCACCACTACAATGCTGTCCTGATGTATGCAAAGCACTTAACTGTGTTACCCTGTGAGTAAATAGTAGAATTATTATCATGACCTGTAGCTAAATAAGAATAGCTAAAAAGACTGAAATTCACAGTCTTTTTAAGTGACTTTCAAATACCACGGAGTTAATAAGCATCTGAACCAGGGCTTGAATTCAGGTCTTTTGACCAGTCCGGGGTTCTTTCCATTCATAACCACTGCCCCTGTTACAACCCCTGCTCTCCCAATTAACCTCAAGGACAGCGTCACCAACAAATAGTCTAGTGATTGGGAGCTTATCACTAAATGGTGCAGCTGTTCTATTTTTGAATGGTTCTAATTTTTAGGAACCTCCTCCCAAATGAAGCTGAAATTTGCCTCCTACAACTCCTGAAGCTGAGTTCCCAATTCTTCCCTCCAGGCCATATAGTTAGCAGTGGAACCTTAACTAGAACCCAGATCCTTCTGATGACTAGTATGCTCTTTTTCCACTATAACTCCCCACCAGGACCCCTACATAATAGTTGTGTAAAGATTGATGGAGGTCTCTTGCTATTCATTTTAATGGGATTATATCTGTATTACTAATCCCCCCCGTACAATACTATTTATTCTGGCTGAGTCTCAAAAGATATTTAATAACAGATATCTTACCTTCCAACACAAAGGGAGGCCTTCTACAGCCTCTGACGAGGGAATTCAGTCTGCTTCAATCACCTCCCCATGCCTGCTCTTACCTAAATCCTGGTCTGTGGATGCAACCGCCATCAGGTTGATGTTATCCAGACATACCATGTCATTGACCCACATCTGCTGGGTGTGGCGGCGATGTGTCTGGTCCAGCTAAGAAAAAGAAAGGTTGATAAGCACTGGGCAACATGACCATTAAAAAAAACCATAATCCAATCTCCTCATTCTATAGATGAGGAAACTGGAGCCCAAAGAGGGGAAGGGGTAAAGGCAGGAACAAGATTCAACCTTGGTTATAGAGTCACAGGATCATAAACGGAGAGCTGGAAGGGACTTTAAGGGGCCACTAGTCCATCTTACTTATAGATGAGGAAACTGGGGCCCAAATAATTAAAGTGACTTATCCAAGGTCACTTAGGATGGGAGTGATAGAACTGACATAAAAACCCAGGATTGAGGAATGGTTGAATAGGTTTTGGTGTTTGAATGGGATGGGATATCATTGTGCTACAAGAAATGAGAAAACAGATAATTTCAAAGAGACATGGAAAGACGTGTATGAATTGATATCAACTGAAACAAGCAGAACCAGAAGAACAATTTATAACTATAATATTGATACAATAAAAATGAACAATTTTGGAGATTTTTATAAACTGATGGAGAATGAAATGAGTAGAGTCAGGAAGACAATTTACACACTAAGGACAACACTCTCATAGAGGCAAATTTTGAAAGCTGTAAGAACTATGATCAATACAATGACCATCCAGGGTTTAAAAGGATCAGTGATGAAACATACTATCTACCTCCTGACAAAAAAAAATGACAGATTTTAGAGCGCAGAATGAGCCATAAATATTTTTGTATGCAGTCAATGAGGGAATTTGTTTTGCTTAACTATGTCTATTTGTTACAAGGAATTGGTTTTTCTTTTCTCTCTTTTTTTTAGTGAGGTGGGGGTAAAGGTAGGAGGGAGCAAATAGATTTCTGTTAATTAAAAAAAACTTTACCTCTACTAGGTCTGTACCCCAAAGAAATGAAAGAAAGAGGAAAAAGACCTGTATGTATAAAAATACTGATAGCAGCTCTTTTTATGGTGGCAAAGAATTGGAAATTGAGGGGATGCTCATCAATTGGGGAAACGATGTGGGATGATTGGGAACAAGACGTGGCACATGATTGTGATGCAATAGTATTGTGCTATAAGAAATGACAAGGAGGATAATCCATTTCAGAAAAACATGGCAAGACCTACATGAACTGATAGAAAGTAAAGTGAGCAGAACCACAGCAATATTGTAATGATGATCAGCTATGAAAGACTTGGCTGCTCTGATCAATACATTGATCCAAGACAATGCCAAAGGATTCGTAATGAAAAAATGCTATCTACCTCCAGAGAAAGAACAGATGAACTCTTGAGTGCAAACTGAAGTATACTTTTTCACTTTATTTTTCTTGCTTTTTTATAATACGTAAATATGTTTTGTTTGATTTCTCATGCGTAATTGATATATTACTTGCCTTCTCAGTAGTCTGGGGGAAGGGCAGGAGGAAAGAGGAGAACTCAAAATTTTAAGAAAAAAGAACATGAAAAAGCCTTTAAAAAATAGGCGGGAGGCACTGGTGGGGTATGGAGGGGAAGTCGAGCTGCCTACCAGCATGGGATGCTATGTGTACTTTCAGATGAGGAAACTTTTTGCTAGTTTTACTTGTTTTATTTTGTTATAAGAAACTTCTCACACAGTAGGGAACAATTTGTAAATGTTTGTAATGAAAAAACAAAACTCATCATAGAATTTTTTTTAAAAAATAAAAACTCAGTTCCTCTGACTCCAAACCCAGTGTTCTGTCTCCTTTGGTCACCCAGCAAGGCCAGCTTAATTTTAATCACACTCTTCCTATTACCAGCCAATAATAAGAGTTTCATTATAATGTTGACCTTGGGATCTTGACTGCAAGGCAACTGTGTAATAAGGTTCTTATGGTATTTCAACTAAATCCCCTAGGATAAAGTCCAAGGAGAACCCTCAAGGAGCTCATTTTATAACTTTTAAAGAACATTCCTATGAAGTAAGTTTTGCCACTGGAAGTAGACTTTTAACCCAAACACAAGATGGTCCTTTACCTATCAGTGTTTCCCAAAACAAATCATACTGCTAGCCTCATAAAATATCCACCTTCTCTGCCTCCCTCTTACTTAGGGGCAGAGAATGGAGAGTAAAAACAAAGGAGTCAGGGATGGAAGGAATAGGACCCAGGGAAAAGGGAAATTAGTTTGTTTTCTAAATTTACAGGCTTTAAGAAATAAGGGCATTTTACAGGAATAGTCTTGTAGTCCAGTACAAGTTTGCCAATGGCCAGTGCCAGCTCACAAGCCAGGGGACATTTAGGAATTTATAATCTAGGCAAGTAATAGGATCATGAATGTGTAATTATACATTCACAATAGTGGTCAAAGGGCTCTGTGATTTAATCAGGATAAGGGTACTCTCTCCTACCAACACCAACCAATAATAATTAATAAAATAGCTAACATTTATAAACCTTATTACATATAGAATCATCATGTAGAAGAATCTTTATATGTTATCACATTTGATCATCACAAAATTCCCGAAAGGTAGATGCTATTGTCATCCCCATTCTCCACATAAAAAAACTGAGACCAAGAGAAGTTAAGTGACTGACTCTCCTGAAGGCCTAGTACTCTGCTAGGCCAATGACAATCTGCCTATAACTCAGTAGATAAATGTTAGTGAGTTGCCTGGGACACCAAGAATTTAAGTTACTTGCTCAGGATCACAGAACTAGTAAGTGTCAGAGGTAGTGACTGAACTCCATAAAGTACACTCTGCTTTCTCCATACCATTTTTTGGTTGGTTACTGGACCTGTGAATTCACAGATGTGTAGATCAGGTAAACTGTCTGAAGCACTGAAAGGTTAAAGCGATTTGCCCAGGCTTATGTAGCCAATAAGTGTCATAGGCAGTACTTGAACCCAGGACTTTCTGACTTTGAGACCAGTTCTATCCACTATAGCCTTTTTTAAAAAAAATAGTAACACTTTCTATAACTCTCTTTAGGCTTGCAAAGTGCTTTACATGTATTATCTCATTTGATCCTCATAACAACCTGTGAGGTGGGTAATGTTATTATACACATTTTATTTTATTTTATTTTATTTTATTTTATTTTATTTTATTTTATTTTATTTGGCTAGGCAATGGGGTTAAGTGACTTTTTGCCCAGGGTCACACATCTTACTAGTAAGTGTTATGTGTCTGAGGCCTGATTTGAGCTCAGGTCCTCCTGAATCCAGGGCCAGTGCACTATCCACTGCTCCACCCAGCTGCCTGCCCCTACTGTACCCATTTTAGAGATTAGGAGAGATTCAGGACTTGCACCAAGGTCCTCCTAACTTCCAGTCCAGCTCTCCATCCATTGTACCATTTAAAAAAATCAAATCATAAAATCACAACTTAGACATGGAAAAGGCCACAGAGACCACCTAATCTAACTACCTCCTTTTAAAGAAGAAAGTGAAGTCCAGACAGCTGGGAAGTCACCTGCCCAAGGTCACACAGGAAGTCATTGATGGGGGCAAGACAAGACCCTAAGTCTCCTAACTGTCATCTAGTCTTCTTTCTACTGCCCCATGATGTGTCCAACTCATCATGATACAGATTCTCTTCTCTCTAGCTTGCCAAGACTGAAAATACCAAAACACAAATGCACAACCAATTAAGGAGCAATTATTTGCATTAGAAAGGATTTGCCTAGGTTTTGCCTTAAACAGAACTTCATTAATGCACTTCAATGTTGGGAGGCAGCATGATTAGACCTAGACTCATGTCCTAATTCTATTTGTTATGTGATATCTAGTAAACCAACTTCCCAACTTCTCTCATTCCCCTTCATACCTTGCACATTGTCTCTTGAACAAATTAGGGAGAAGCAGGGAAGGGAGCTAATCAAGGTGGGCCGTCATGAAGGAGAGGTACGAATAACCAAGGTCCCCATTACAATTCAATAATTAATAAATACAAAAACATTTATTAAGTACTTAATATATGCTCCCACTCCCCAGAGGGGAAGAACACAAATACAAAAGTGAAGCAACCCTGCTGTTAAGGAATTTATATTCTAATACACAGACTATAGATGAGGGAATGATGGCTCAGACGGGGTATTTTGGCTTGGGAGTCTTAGGGATGGGGAGTAGAATCATAGTGGAGTTGACTGATACTCCCTTTCCAGTAGCAATGGCAATATTGATTCAATTATGGTTCCCCAAAATGGGGATGGGGAAAGGTATTTACGCCTACAAAACAAAGGGTAAGAAGATGGTTGGTGGAATGTGAAATAAAGTGAGCTTAATAAATGATTTTTCATTCATTCAACATTGTAAAGAAAAATAACTGAAAAACTTAAGAAATTTGATCAATGAAATTGTCTCCAAAAGATCAATAATGAAGCATGCCACCTACCTCCTGACTGAGAAGTGATAGTTTCAAGGTGAAAAATGAAAAAAAAAAAAAAGCATTCTTTTCAGACCTAACCAATGTGTGGGTTTGTTTTGGTTCTGCAAATCTGTTACAAAGGTTTCATTTTTTTCTTTTTTTCCAGTGGAGAGGAGAGTTAGCAATAGTATAATCCATAAGAAGAAGAAGAAAAAAAGAGGGTTACTGAACTATTTTTTAAAGCACAGAAGAGAAGAAAGTTCTGAACAAAACAAAGTTGAGCAAAACAGCTTTGAAAGTAACATTAAATTTACTATATACTTAAAAGGAAAAGCAAGCTGTATCTAACAGAGATTTGCAGAGTCATATATAATCCTCATTATCAGCTCTCATTTATATATGGAAATGTTCATTTTATTTGGTGTTCAATTTAGAATAAAAAAATTCTTTTTTCAAAGGAAGACCATGCAAATGAGTCGTAAAGTGGACCCTGAAGGTAGGATTTGTATACACAAAGGGATAGCAACAGGCCATTCCAAGGATACAAAATAGCATGAACAAAGGCACCAAGGTGATAATGGGCAATGTTCTAAATGAGGCACAATGTGGAGACCCACTTGAGGGTAGTGAAGGGCACCCAGTCTGGGAGATAAGAAATAAGACTGGGAAAGTACAGTATGACCTAAAATGCTTTATGGGGATGTATTGTTAATATAGTTACTTTTTTTTTATCTGATGCGTAATAGAGAGCCAATATAAGCCCTGGAACAGGAGAATTTCATAATAAAAGCAGTTTTTGAGGAATATTAACATGGCAGTGTTGTACTAAGTGAATGGGGTGGGGATAAAAGGTGGTTAAGGGAGATGAGTGGCAACAGATAAGCAGGGGGGCAAACTATGTCATCTGTTTGTGCCTGCCCTCTCTTCAACCAGGTGAAAAGCATCCTGAGTGCAGGGATCATATTTTTTTATTTCTTTTGTATCCTCTTCAGTATCTCGTACAATGCTGGGTACACAGTAAGTGCCTGATAAATGCTTGTTGGTCAACTAAAAACAATGTTTCTTACTTTTGAAAAGGCCAAAAAATACCACCAGAAAGAATTCATTCCAAGGACTGGCCTTGGAACAGTACTCACTCGTGTTCTCCCATCCTCTCCAGGAAAGGCAATAAAAGGGAGCTCTGACCTAGAGTTCCTTCTTCCCAGAGCCCTCCACAGAAAGAAGGTAACAGAAGATGAGCTCCCTCAGCATACTCAAAGTATGGGGATTGCCCATGCTAATTCAGATTCTGTCTTGACACATCACAAAAATTTAGACTGGCTCCTATAGACCTCAGTCCCTCCCTAAATATGGGATGATGGCATTGCTTCCCTCCTGGTCCTTAAGGGATATGCCTGGAAATACTTAACAGAAGCCATTGTAAAAAAGGCTTATAAAGTAATTGTGTTCACAACACATTTAAAATAAATCTTCCATCTCTAGAGAATCATTGGTTTTCTTCCCATACTCCTATCTGTTTGCCACTGGCAAATATCTCTCTATCCCTACATGTTTGCCTCTCTTGCCATTGGCTAAAATTCAGGAAAAAAGAACTAGAAAGTTGGATGTTGAACATACTGATCTGTGTCATCTTTGTATTAGCTCTTCAGCTCCTCCAGGACAGAAACTATGACTACAGAGATTCTATTATTTTAAACAGTCAGATTCTATTATTGTGACTATGAATGAATCACAAAACTATGAATATGATTCATTCATTCATGATTCTATGCCCAAATGGGAGTTATCTTCTCCACCCCAAAATTTCCCCTCCTCTCTCATCTTCCTTCAAAGTGAGACTGATGACTTTGAGAAATTCTGCCTCACTTAAATCCAATTCATGAGCAAGTCAAGACATCACCCCATGATGTAATCAGTCCTCTTCCACAGCAAAGGACAAACAACAATTTCTTTAGAGGGCACCACTATCAAGAAGCAGAGCAGTGCACTGAGGAAAACACTGGCCTTGGAGTCAGAAGGCCTGGGTTCAAATCTTGCCTACTAATATCAAAACCTTGAGCAAGTCATTTAACTAGACCTCAGTTTCCTCAACTATAAAAAGAGGAAGCTGAACTTGTTAACCCCAAGTCCCTGCCACTTCTTAAATTTATATGATTCTATGATCCTTAAAGGCATTCAAGTTCATAACCTTGGAATTCTCCCTGAGTCTCACTTCTCCCTCACCCACTTCCTATCTAATCAATTGCCAAATCTTGCAGATTCTGCCTCCAAGGCAACTCAACTCTCAATCCATGTCTTTCATACAAACCCTTCCTTGAAGGCAGGGATTGTCTTATGAGTCACTTAATACGAAAGGGAAGGAGAAAGAATATATAGTCTATTGGGGCCAGGGGTGGGGAACCTGTAGCCTTGAGGGCACATGTGGCCCTCTAGGTTCTCAAGGCTGCAGGTTCCCCACCCCTGCCAGGGGATGCTAGGCACTTTATAAATATTATCCCATTTGATCTTCACAACAACCCTGTGAGTAGGTGCTCACAGGGTTATTATTATCCCCATTTTATAGTTGAGGAAACTAGGGCAAACAGAGAGATTAAATTACTTGCCTTGGGGTCTCAGAAATTAAGTGTCTGAGGACAGATTTGAACTCAGGTCTTCCTGACTTGAGGCCCAGCACTCTATCCACTGTGACCCCTAGCTGCCTGATAATAAGTTAAATAAATAATAATAATAAATATTAATTTTTGATTAATTAATTAATAAGCATTTATTGAACTACCTGGTTCTCTAATGGCCTTAATTGGGCCACAAACATGAATCTTCCTCTCTATCCCTCTCCTCCCCTCAGTAGCCTAAAACCTTCTTTTCTTAAGCTCCCAGAAGATATCTTTACCCTCAGTTTTGCAGAGAAAATCAAGACCATCTGCTGTGAGCTCCCTATATCCACTGCCCCAGATCTCAAAATGCTTCCACATCTTTACCTATCCTCTTCTTCCTTAACTTTTGGCTCTAAGGAAGAACCATGGCTTACAACCTTAAAATCTGACTTCTGAACCCACCCCTCAGCTGAAACAACTCTCCCCAAGATTGCTGATATTATCTTTTCCCAACCTTCCCTCCTTGACCTCTATGCAGTCTCTGACATTCTTCACCACCCCAACCTTCTAGGTGGCTAGTTGGCGCAGTGGACAGTGTGCTGGACCTGGAATCAGGATGATCTGATTTCAAATCTGATCTCAGATACAGGGCAAGTTAATTTCTATCTGCCTTAGTTTCTTCACCTGTAAAATGGGGATTATAATAGTACCTACTCCCCAGGGTTGTTGTGGTGATCAAATGAAATAATATTTGTAAATCACTTTGCAAACTTTAAAGTGCTATATAACTGCTAACTATAGTCATTATGGGCAGCTAGCTGGCACAATGGATAGAGTGCTGGGCCTGAAGTTAAGAAAACTCATCTTCCTGATTTCAAATCCAACTTCAGATGCTTATTAGCTTTGTGACCCTGGGCAAGTCCTTAACCCTATTTGCCTCAGTTTCCTCATCAATAAAAATGAGCTGGAGAAGGAAATGGCAAACTGCTCCAGTATCTTTGATAAGAAAACCCCAAAAGGAGTCAGGAAGAGTCAGACACAACTGAAAGGACTGAACAACACATTATTATTATAATACCATCTTCTTCCTTGGCTTCTCTGAAGTTGATTCTCCATTTCCTATCTTCATGTATTGTGACAAGATATTCCCTATGTCTGGAAAGCATTCTTTTCCTGTTCCCCTCTCTGTCCTTCTCTTCCCTCAAGAATCAGCTCAGGAGCCACCTCCCCTGACCCTCTCAGTAGTAAGTGCTCTCTCCTTCCTTATATTATACTCTTTTATGCCTATTTCTGTACATGTTGGCTCTCCCTACCCATACCCCCAAGCAGGATGCAAGCTCCTTCAGAGAAGGGACTGCTTCGGTTTTGTTCCTACGTCCCAAGCACAGTGACTTGCTAATTGTAGATACTTAATAAAAGCTTGTTGAATTGTACTGAATTGAATTACATGGACTGTCCGGAGCAGCTTGAAGGATTCATCCCAGAACTGAAGGATTCCGTCTTTGGTGACAGTAAGGAAGCGACCAGCTGATCCCTGAAACTGATTGGCCAAGAATTGCAACTTCACAATCTCATGTCCGTGATTCCTGGATGAGGAAATAGATTTCAAAAAAAAGAAAGAAGATAGAATGAAAAAAAAAAAAGAAAGATCTAATCACATCACAAGGTTGCTGAAGAGGAGCAGAGGGAAAAAAAAAACCAAGAAGAAGATTCTTGTGAGAGAGAAAAAAAAAGAAGAAATTCAACTGGTTTTATAAAGGTCCTTCAGAGCCTCCTCTTCCCTCCTTCCCCATCCCCCCCTTAGTTTTATTTAATTAAGGTTTATAGTCTACGGATTATACACACTGGAGAGGGAAAAACAGAACCCATCTATGGTCTTAGCCTGGTAGGAATCTACAGAAAGCTGCAAGTTTGTCATGCAAGTGCTTTGGAATACAATGGGTTGTGGGAACAAAGGAATGAACAATTTTATAAACCCCTTTCCATTGGAAATGAGGCCCTAAACATGGAAAAATACAATGTAATGAAAACAAAATGAGCTCTGCAATAATATTCCAATTACCATGCTTGTTGCAAAGATATTGGGAACAGAAAAAAGAACAGAGGTGAGGGAAGGTATAGGAATCATGGCAATTCCATTACTAGAGAAAGATAAAAGTAGAGGAGGAGGAATTTAGGAATGATTCTGATTCCCCTACAACCTGCTTAGGAAAGCTAACTACAGATTTAGATGAATGAGGAGAAAGTAAATAAAGGAATCCTCAAGCTGGAAGAAACTCAAAGATTGTCTCATCCAACCCCTAGGTTGAGAATGAATTCCCTCTAAAACATCCAAAGACAGTAGTTAGTCATCTATCTTCTGCTTAAAGATCTCTACTGACAAAGCACTCAATATCTTACAAGGAGGTATATTCCATCAGTAGCCATCCTTGACCTAACAAGGCTTTCCTTGGCGTAACCTCACTCCGAAGAATGAACTCATTAGAGAACTTACTAGAGTGAATTGGTACGTTAGGATCACAGACCGGTCCATGTTATTCCCCCAAAAAGACAAAGTCAAATCCATCTCCCACATTAATAGCCCTTCAGGTATTTGGAGGACTTTAATCATACTCACCCCCAACAAAGTCTTCTTCTATTCTCTAGGCCCACCACTTTCAAACTTCTTGGTCTCAGAACTTTTTACACTCTTTTTTAAATTTTATTTATTTATTTATTTATTGTTTTCAACATTCACTTCCACAAGATTTTGAGTTCCAAATTTTCTCCCCATCTCTCTCCTCCCCCCCACCCCAAGACATCGTGCATTCTGAATACTGCCTCCCCCAATCTGCTCTCCCTTCTATCACCAGTCCCACCTTCTCTTATCCCCTTCCTCTTCTATTTTTCTATAGGGCAGGATAGATTTTTATACCCCATTGCCTGTATCTTATTTCCCAGTAAAAACAATTTTTAACATTCATTTTTAAAATTTTGGGTTCCAAATTCTCTCCCTTCCTCCTTTCCCACCCACCCTTATTGATAAGGCAACTCAATATAGGTTATACATGTGTAGTCATGCAAAACACTTTCATAAATAGTCATGTTGTAAAAAAACTAGCTATATAAACTATATAACTATATGAATAACTATAATTTCATCCTATCCTGCCCCCCATTTATTCTATTCTCTCCTTTGATCCCATCCCTCCTCAAAAGTGTTTGCTTCTGCTTACCCCCCTCTCCCAATCTCCCCTCCCTTCTATCATGTCCCCCCATCTACTTCCCCCCTATTTTCCTGTAAGGTAAGATAGATTTCCATATCCAATTAAGTGTGTATCTTATTCCCTCCTTAAGCCAAATCTGATAAGAGTAAGATTCACTCATTCCCCCTCACCTCCCCCCACTTCCCCTCCACTGTAAAAGCTTTTTCTTGTCTGTTTTATGTGAAATAATTCACCCCATTCTACCTCTCCCTTTCTCCTTCTCCCAGTACATTCCTCTCTCATCCCTTAATTTTATATATATATATGTACATATATAAATACATACATATATATGTATATATATAAATACATACATATATATGTATATATATATACATAAATACATATATACATATCTATATATATACATACATACATATATATATATATATATATATATATATATATATATATATATATATATATATATATATATATATATACACACACCCTCCTACTACCCTAATAATGAGAAAGATCTTGATTTACAAATATCATCTTTTCATGTAGGAATGTAAACAGTTCAACTTTAATTAAGTCCCTTATGATTTCTCTTTCCTGTTTACATTTTCATGCTTCTTGTGAGTCTTGTATTTGAAAGTCGAATTTTCTATTTAGATCTCACTTCTCAAGAATGCATTAAATTCCTCTACATCATTGAATATCAACTTTTTTCCCCTCATTGATTACACTTGGTTTTGCCAGGTAGGTGATTCTTGGTTTTAATCCTAGCTCCTTTGACCTCTGGAATATCATATTGTAAGCCCTTTGATCTCTTAATATAGATGCTGCTAAATTGTGTGTTATCCTGATTGTGTTTCCGCAATACTTGAATTGTTTCTTTCTGGCTGCTTGCAATATTTTCTCCTTGACCTGGGAACTTTGAAATTTGGCTATAATATTCCTGAGAGTTTCCCTTTTGGGATCTCTTCCAGGAGGTGATCAGTGGATTCTTTCAATTTCTATTTTACCCTCTATTTTATTTCAAGAACATCAGGGCAGTTTTCCTTAATAATTTCTTAAAAGATGATGTCTAGGCTCTTTTTTTGATTATGACTTTCAGGTAGTCCAATAATTTTTAAGTTATCTCTCCTGGATCTATTTTCCAGGTCAGTTATTTTTCCAATGAGATACTTCACATTGTCTTCTATTTTTTCATTCTTTTGGTTTTGTTTTATAATATCTTGATTTCTCATAGAGTCATTAGCTTCCATTTGCTCCATTTTAATTTTTAAGGAATTATTTTCCTCAGTGAGCTTTTGGACCTCCTTTTCCATTTGGCCAATTCTGCTTTTAAGGCACTCTTCTCCTCATTGGCTTTTTGGACCTCTTTTGCCATTTGGGTTAGTCTATTTTTTAAGGTGTTACTTTCTTCAGTATTTTTTTGGGTCTCCTTTAGCAAGATGTTGACTTGTTTTTCATGATTTTCTTACATCACTCTCATTTCTTTTCCCAATTTTTCCTCTACTTCTCTTACTTGCTTCTCAAAATCCTTTTTGAGCTCTCCCATGGCCTGGGACCAATTTTGATTTTTCTTAGAGGCTTTGGATGCAGGAGCTTTGACTTTGTTGTCTTCGGGTTGTATGTTTTGATCTTCTTTGTCACCAAAGTAAGATTCTATAGTCTGAGTTTTTTGTGCTGATTGCTCTTGTTCCCAGCTAATTACCTGACTTTTAAACTCTTTGTTGAGGTAGGGGTCTGCTTCCAGTGTGGAGGGTGTACTATCCCAAGCTTCAAGGGGTTTTGTGCAGCTGTTCTCAGAGATACTTCTAGGGACCTGTAAATTTTCAGTTCTTCCAAGGTGGTAGGATCAAAGGCGAAGTGTTTACTCCTTTCCTGGCCTATGCTCTGGTCTATGAGTGACCACAAGCACGCTTTTTTGCCTTTGAACTGTAAGGAGGATTTTATCTTCACCACCACACCAGTGTTCCTCCTCACCCCAGGACTACTACCCAGGACTGTGACCCAGATCCAAGCAAGGGCAAACCAAGAGAATCCTGTCTCAGCACCAACAAAGAGATCTCTGCAATCCCCCTCTGGTCAGTTACTTGATTCCTCCATTATCTGTGGGCCAAGAGTTGTGGCATATTTGGGTTGAGAAGTCTGGAAACCACAACAGCTGCTAGTGATTTAGTCCCCTGAGGCCAGCTCCAGGTTCGCTGAGCCCTGGTCTTTGCCTGCACGCCCACACTGAACTGCATTCCTCTCCCAGCATGGCATAATAGACCTTTCCAATCAACCATCCAGGGTGTCTCAGGGTGGAAATTTGTTTCCCTCTGTCTTTTTGTGGGCGTACTGCTCTAGAATTTGTTTAGAGCTGGTTTTTATAGGTATTTGGAGGGGTTTGGGGGAAAGCTCAAGCAAGTCACTGCTTTTACTCCACCTTCTTGGCTCCACCCCACCTCTTTACACTCTTAAAAATTATTGAGGTCCCTTTTATACACTCTTAAAAGAACTTTTGTTTATGTGAATTATAGTTATCTACATTTACAATACGAGAAATTAAAACTGATAAATTTTAAAGTATTCATTTAAATATAATCATGACTAGGTAAAACAATGATAATGTAAAAAACAAAGAAATCAATAAAAACATTTTTTTAATTTTAAGAGGTTACTATCTTTTTCAATACTGCACACTAAGGACCATGAGACTTTTTCATCTAACTTTTAACTGAAAGTTTCCATATATGCTGTTTCCCTGCAAATTCCTTAAGAACAGAGACTCTTATCTTTCAATTTGTATACTCAGTTGCTTACTACAGTGTTTTCCACATAGTAAATGCTTAACAAATGCTATTTTCATTTTTAAAAAAAGGTTTTACCTCTAGGACCTCTGGAAAGAGTCTCAAGGACCCTCAGTGGTCTGTGGACCTCACTTTGAGAACCATTGCTCTAGGCTATGGACTAGACCCATAAGTGAACAGAAAGGGAACTGAGCTAGCTCCAGATTCAAAAGATGGAGTCAGTATGGTTCACTCAATTTCCACAATTAATCACTTGCTCTTCTAATCCCCTCAAATCCCTCCCTATCGAAGTATAAGAACACAGGACTAGGAGTTGGGAGACCCAAGTTCTAGTCATATTACTGCTCTTACCTAGCTGATGACAGAATCAGGCTCTAGAAAGATGGACCACATCTAACAGAATGAGACAACAATGGGAATGTGTCCTGCACTTAGATTCACAAAAATCAACCACACAAAAAACTTTATTACATTGTTTGAACTTAGCCCTGCATGGCTGGGAAGCTGGACCATCCCTAATTGCTGATTAGAGACTCTTAACTAAGGACCTAGTTTATGCTGACCAGAAACCCAGTCAAAATCCAAAGACTGATGCAAGGAGTTTTCTCCCAGTTGTACAACTCAAGCAATCCATATGTCTTATTTGAAAACTGGCCCAATACTGATCCATCAGTTATTGTTTCCATGTTCCTCTGATTGTTCATAGACACTTGGGGGGAATGGGACACCTCTTTTTTTCTGATTTCGGGGAATAGCAGCTGTTCAATCTCCCACTTCCCACTTGGAAAGTCGCTAATTTTTCCTCCAATTAGAAATGAGATTACCTAATGTTGTATCCTGGTTAATTGTTTCCTTGTAACTAATGGGCCTTATTTGATTATTGTTTTTAATGTATAAAAGTCTGTCTTCCCCTGTATCTGGGGTCCAGGCCTAAGTTAAGGAGGTCTGATCCCAGTTTGTGGGCAACTGCTGTGCATTGCTTAATAAGTCAATATGCTCAGAAGATTGAACTTTTATTTCCTTAGTCATATTATCTTTCCCACACCACTGTAGGACTAAGGTAGTAATGGGTTCCAATTGTAAAGCACTTTGCAAACTTTTGAGTACCATATAAAAGCTAGTGATTATTTTTATACTCTCTTCTTCCTCGACTCCCATGTCAGTTTTCTCCCTGAAGCTGACTGTCTATTTCTTGCCTTCGTGTGTTATGATAATACATCCCTGCATCTGGATCTATCCCTGTCCCCTCTTCTCATTCTTCTCTTCCCTCAAGGATCAGCCTAGGAGCCACCTTCCCTGATCCAGCTAGTTGTGAGAGCTCTCTTGCTCCTTATACTTGAATTTCTATTGGGAAAAAAGATTTGCCAGGTCATTGTGTTCTATTTAAATATGCCTCTGCTTCAACCCATAGCTCCCAGTTGCTAAAAATAAGTTGTGATAACTACTGCTCTCAATTATGGACCTTCTTCTGGCCTATCCTATGCCAAAATTGTCACTGTAGAGATGCCTCAGTTTCTTCATCTGTCAAGTGGGGATAATGAAGAAAGAGCTTCGTATACCTTGTAAGGTAGGTAATGAAAATGGCATTATGCTCATTTGGATGAGAATGAAAATAAAATTCAGTGAAGTTACAACTTGGCCAGTGCCTCACACTGAGGAAACAGTGGAGATGGGATATCTGACTGGGTTCATTGTTCTTTCCACTACATAATGATCCCTCAGTACAAAACCTTTTCTGAAGTAGGCTATTTTTCTAAACCTATAGAGGAGGACTTAAGATTTCTTACAGTGGAACAATCCTCATAGGAGGCTGGAGACGCAGTCGATACTGGCCTTTCCTCATCTCTTCCTTCCCTTTGAAATCTCGCATCAGGTAATCTAGATACTTGCGCTGAATCAAGGGAAAAGCATAAGGAAAGAAAATATTGGCATCTTAGAACTCTTTTTTTTTTTTTGCTTTTTGGTGAGGCAATTGGGGTTAAGTGACTTGCCCAGGGTCACACAGCTAGTAAGTGTCACATGTTTGAGACCAGATTTGAACTCAGGTCCTCCTGACTCCAAGGCCGGAGCTGTATCCATTGTGCAACCTAGCTGCCCCACTTTACTTTTTCTTTAAAAACTTAGTATCCCTCTCTCACCATGCTGGAGGTGCAAGGGCTACTCATGGCCCTGATTCCACTTTTTTTGATCCGCATGGAAGTTTTGACCTGTGCCTGAGCTGGTTAGCTCCTCCTAATGCAACACGGGAGCCCCCTATTCATGAGAGCTCACTATACTGGTGCCAGAGTGTATGCAAGATACCCAACCAGCTTAGCCCACTGCAGCTCAGAACTCCAAAACCCAAGAGAACTGTCAGGTTCAACAGCCCCTGTACCATATGCCACCACCCGGGGAACAGTAAACTCAATAATATTGTCTTCATTCATGCATTTATATTAGCTTCTGGTAATATCAGGCAAGCTTAAAGGAGTAATCACTACTCACTTCTCACAAAACTCTAGAATTCACGGATCTCTAGACCAAGTCTTCAAGAAGAATAAAGCAAAAGACAAAACACTGTGGTTTAGTGTTGCTCTATAACCCGAGCATTTTAAAAGTTAATGTCCATGGGGGCGTTCGCAGCAGCAATGAAATCATAGGATCGCAGAGCGGGAAAGGGCCTCCCTCAGAGGCCACCTAGTCCAAACTATATCTGAAGTAGGAATCCTGTTTTTATCTCCAACAAGGAGATGATTAACCTGATAAAACACTTCCAGGCATCACCATATCCTGAGCAGCCAATCTTCTTTTTTAATAGCTCTGCTTGTTAGAAATATCCTTATATTTAATTGGTGTTTACCACCCTATAATTTCTCTTGATTCATGACTTGTCTTAATGATAATCTGATCCTACAAAAGGTAGAAGGTATGCACTGATACAAAATGAAATAAGCAGAACCAGGAAAACAACACACACAATGATAATAATAATGTAAGAAGGAAGAGCAACAACAAAACAATCAAAACTGAGTGCTATAAAATTACAATGACTAAAGCTGGCCACGGAGAATAGCTACGAAAAGGCATCTCACACCTCCTCATCTTTGCAGAGGTGGAGGAGTGAGGTTGTGGTAAACTGCATAGCATGTCAGACTTTTTCAGTGTACTAGGTGCTTCTACTGAGCTGTACTTTTTTTTATTCTCTGTTATAGGGGAGGATTCCTTGGGAAGGAGGAGACAAATACATTGGAAAATGAAGGAGATGCGGAAACAAGTCACTAAAAAATATTTTTAAAAATAAAAGGAACAATACTTTCTCTGGGAGCCAAGATGGTAGAGTAAGGAGTAAGCAATAAATTGCCATAACTCCCATATTCACCTCCAAAAACCATAAAATAGTGCCGAAAACAAATCCTGGAACAGCAGAACCAGCAAAAAGATGAAGTGAAACAATCTTTGAGCCCAAGAAACTTGGAAGATCAGTAGGAAAGGTCTATCTCACTTGGGTGAAACGGGAGCGCGGTATAGGACAGGAAGCATCCCAGAAAGCCAGCAGCAAGCCCCACCTCAGCAAACCAGCAGTAGTTCTTGAGCTCCAGTGTGGTGGAGCAGGCAAACGGGAACAGGCCAGCATAGCCAGGAGAATGGCAGACTCCAGCAACGAGAACCACCACGTGCTTCAATATAGCCCAGGGCAAACAGGCAGACATCAACCTTACTAGGTCTGGCAACCACCGGTGGCCAGACCACTATGTGCTTCAGTGTATTCCTGAGGAAATACAGAAACATCCCACCTGCCTCAACATACCACAGACACCAGCACTAGGACCCCAGCTCAGCACCAGGTAAGCTGCCAGACCCCTACACACCAGCTACCCCCCCCACATGACCCCCTCAGCTTAGCACCAAACACAGGATCCCCTGTGAGCCTCAGGGCAGCATCAGTGAAGCACCAGATAAACAACCAGGACCTGTGGTCCCTGGCGCAAGAAGCCTGAGACAGTGCCCCTTCCACTGTGGGAGCAGAACTCAAATTTTAAAAAAGGAAAAATGCCCCAAAAAATGAGCAAAAAATAACAACAACAAAAAAAAGGAAAAAAAGAAAAACAATCTGACCATAGAAAGTTATTATGATGACAGAGAAGATCAAGAAATAGACTCAGAAGAGGACAACATTGTCAAAACACCTGTGGGCAAAACTCCAAAGAAAAATGGGAAGTGGTCTCAAGCCCAGAGAGAACTCATGGAAGAGCTCAAAAAGGAGCTTAAAAATCATATAAGAGAGCTAGAAGAAAAAATGGAGAAATAAATGAGAATGATGCAAGAGAATTATAAAAAAAAAGAATAAACAGTTTGGAAAAAGAAAACTACTACTTAAAAAGTAGAATTGGCCAAATGGAAAAGGTGATACAAAAATCCACTGAAGAAAACAATTCCTTAAAAAGTATGATTGGCCAAATAGAAAAGAAAATACAAAAGCTAATTTAAGAAAACAGCTCCTTAAATTGGGCAAGTGGAAACTAGTGACTCTATGAGACATCAAAGAATCAAGCTAACACTGTGTGTCCCTGGGTAAGTCACTTAACCCTGATAGCCCCACCAAAAAAAAAAAAAGCCAAGAATCAATCAAATTCATGAGAATGAAAAAAATAGAAGAAAAGGGAAAAACAACTGATGGGGAAAATCCAGGATTCAGGAGATACAGGAGAGATAACGTCAGAGTCATTGGACTACATAAAAGCCATATTCAAAAGGAGGACCTGGACATCATCTTTCAAGAAATTATCAAGGAAAACTGCCCTGATAACCTTGAACCAGAGGGCAAAATAGGCACTGAAAGAATCCACCAATTACCTCAGGAAAGAGATCCCAAAATAAAAACTCCAAGGAACATTATAGCCAAATTTCAGAACTATCAGGTCAAGGAAAAAATACTGCAAGTGGCCAGAAAGAAACAATTCAAATATTAGGGAGCCATAATCAGGATTACACAGGACTTCGCAGCTGCAATATTAAAAGACTGGAGGTCACAGAACGAGATATTCTGAAAGGTGAAGGAGTTAGGACTACAACCAAGAATTATTTACCCAGCAAAATTAAGCATAATACTTCAAGGGAAAAAACAATGAATTCAATTCAATTCAATGAAATAGGAGGATTTCAAGCTTTCATAAGGAGAAGACTAGACTTAAACCAAAAAAATTGATCTCCAATATCAAGGCCCAAGAGAAACACAAACAGGTAAAAAGGGAAAAGGAAACGTAAGAGATTCAATAGAGCTAAAACTGTTTACATCCCTACATGTAATTCTTAAAAACTGTATCATTAATAGTACAGCTAGAAGGAATACACATAGACAGAGGGTACTGGTATAAGGTGAATTTGGGGGAATGACACAAAAAAAAAATTAAGGGATGAGAAAGAGGAGTATACTAGGTGCAGAAGGAAAGGAGAGGTAGAATGGGGTAAATTATTTCATATGAAGAGATGCAAAAGACCTATTACAGTGGAGGGGAAGATGAGAAGGCAAGCAATGGGTATCACTTGAAACTTACTCTCATGGGCATTGGCTCAAACGGGGAATAATATATACAAGAAGTTCAATATAGAAAGCTATCTTACCCGACAGGGAGGTAAAATGGTCACAAATTAAGTAAAGGCAGGTGTGGGAGGGACTGACAGAAGGGAGGGCAGATCAGGGGAGGTAGTAGACAGAAGCAAAGGGAGGGAAACTGTGAAAGGAGAGGGAGTACAAAGAGGAAGAAAAAATAGGGTGGAGACACAGTAATCATAACTATGAATGTGAATGGGATGAACTCCCCCATAAAATAGCAGATAGCAGAGTGGATCAAAAGCCAGAATCCTACAATATGTTGTTTACAATAAACATACCTGAAGCAGAGAGACACACACAGAGTAAAGGAAAGGGGCTGGAGCAGAATCTACTATGCTTGGGACACAGATGCACTGTTGGAGTTGTGAACTGATCCAACCATTCTGGAGAGCAATTTGGAATTATGCCCAAAGGGCAATCAAACTGTGCACATACTTTGATCCAGCAATACCACTACTAGGTCTGTATCCCAAAGCGATCATAAAAAAAGGGAAAGGGACCTACATGTACAAAAATACAGCAGCCCTTTTTGTGGTGGTAAAATATTAGAAATTGAGGGGATGCCCATCAGTTGGAGAATGGCTGAGCAAGCTGTGGTATATGAATGCAGTGGAATATTATTGTGCAACAAGAAACAATGAACAGGCAAATTTCAGAAAAACCTGGAAAGACTTGTACAAACTGACACAAAGTGAAATGAGCAGAACATTGTACATAGTATCAGCAACATTGTGCAATGATCAATTAGGAATGATTCCACTTTTCTCAGTAAAACAATGATCCAAGACAAGTATAAAGGACTCACAAAGGAAAATGCTATACACATCTAGATAAAGAACTGATGGACTCTGAATGCAGATAGAAACATTTTTTCACTTTATTCTTTTTCAAATTTTTTTTCTTTTGATCTGTTTCTTCTTTTGCAACTGTGACTAACATGAAAATACATTTTACATGATAGGACATGTATTAACTATATCAAATTGCCTTACCATTTTCAGAAGGAAGGGATGGAGGGAGAAAAAATTGGAACTTAAAATCTTGTAAAAATAAATGCTAAAAATTATCTAGACATGTAACTGGGAAAAAATAAAATACTATTAAAAATGAAATGTATGACAAAAAATAAAAAGAATAGCACGAGGTGAAGAAAGAAGAACTAGGAAAATAATATAAGCAATAACTATAATAGTGTCAACCAAAAGAACAATAAAATGAAACTGAATGCTTTAAAGGAAAAAAGAAGGTAACAACAAGGGAATCTGCTATTCTTGACCTGATTCTTATCAACAAGGAAT